TATACGCAAAGCCAAACAGCAGCACTAATACCACAACAGTAAAAAAAAAAAAAAAAAACTACGTAACACAATGCAGTGACATAATGTTTAATTGTGTCACTATGGAGTATCACAGACACACTTTAAAGGCCCTGTGGGAAAACTGTAAGATACCAACAACAAAAAAAAAACCCACACATGAAAAACAACATCAAGCAAGATGAGCTCACACCATCACACTTTCTGAGTCCCTACAGGAGCAACATATTTGTATTTTTATTAATACTATGGCGATAAAACTGAAGACAGATTGCCACTAAAACAGACAAGGTCACTGTTGAATGTCAAACACACTCTGTGTGCTCCTATAGGAACTGAAATTATAGAACCACGTGAGATTAAAGAAACACAGTGCCTCTGGAAACATTACAGGACTATTATAATGACACATTAAGAATAAATCACAATTAAGATCACTACAGGGCATCTCGGATACAATATAAACCCCACTTTGGTGGAAGAATGCCATAAAGTAAGGTAAAGTCATTAAACATACTGCAAGTCTCTATAGGGATGTTATAAGACACTATAGGTTTAAATAATCATTAAATATTCACTCTAAATGCAATACTGGGTCCCAGAGGTACATTTCAAGTCCATATGAAGATATTACAGATACATTTTAGGGACCAATTAATGATTATGCTTATACTTACATTGAGAACAACGTAAAACCAGAGTCTACGTGCAAATACCTGGCCAATAAAAGTGATTCAGATTCTGATTAAGTAAAATAAAATAACTACAGATTAACACAGACACATAATGATGATCTAAAATGTAATACTGACTCACAGAGACACAAATAGATTATTATATTATAGTCATACAAGAGGGAAAAACCACTGTTTGGAAAAAATGGATAACCCTAGAGCAGTCATTAGCAACTATAGGAATACTTGGAGAATATTATAGTAATACATTAAGATATGCCACATAAAGTCTCTGTTTTAAAGGATTATTACAGGATACAATACACAGGAGGAATATAATTAAGTAAGAATAAAACTGCATTGAGTACTATAAACAAAAACTCAGCCCCTAAAAAGTACTATTATTGGAATATAAAAACAGTTATTTATTTCTAAGTATGAGTTAAATAAAGAAGGGGAAACAATAACAAAGTCAGATAAAACAATTCCAGCTCCACAGACACAAACCTATTCCCTAAAAAGGCCGTAACATGGGCCCCTATTAATATTATAGATTCATTCAACAATCATTTACTTGATACAACACAAGGAAGACCATAATAAAGTGAATATACAACACTATGGAGTATCATAGACAGTATTAGCCTCTACGGGAGTTTTATAGGGTTATTTTACAGGTATTTAAAGGGAATGTGAGAAGGACAAAGGAGAATTAATAAAAGTTAGATAAAATCATTACTGAGCTCCACATACACAATATTAGCCACTATATATTACACTATACTCATATAATAGTAACTTAGGGTAATACTTTATCATGTTATGTTGTTACACATTACTGTGGGCCACTGTAGAAGTACTCAAAATGTATTTAAGGATGATTACACTTGATAACACAGGATGAAGAATACAATAAAGAGATATTAAGACAATATTATTACCTAAGTAGATACTATAAGAATATGAAACATATATAAAGTCATCATCAAGTGCCAGAGTTAAAATATCAGCCACTATAAGTATATTAGAGATATTCTTAAGTAATATAATCAGATTTCAAAATACCATAAAGTCAGACAGGAGTTCAAGGACAAATAAGGAGAATAGCTATATATAAAGCTCCAATAGACACACCATGATGGATACATTTAAGGAATATTATAGTAAAACAACAGGACAAACAACACCATAAAGTTTCCTGTGAGCCCCTATGGAAACATTATAAGTTCACAGTTGAGCTCTACACAACACTGGCCACCATAGGAAATATACCATAAGGAATATTATGGTAATAATTTAGAAAAGGGATACCATAAAGTCCGATAATGTCTCTACGGATCACTTTGAACCCCTCCACTGACACTGATGTGACATTATAGATCTTTTCAAGTATCATTATACTTGACACAACATGAGAAAAACTATAATAAAGTTAGAATAAGAGACAGACAAAGGAATCCTAAACAGGACAAAGAAGTAGTAGTAGTACAAATAAAGTCATGTAAAGTCACTATTGAGTTCTACAGACACAATATGAGCCACTAAACTTATATTATAGTTATATATTTAGGGAATACTAAAGTAGTACCTCAGGAAAAAGTATGCCATGTCAGATAAGTTCAGAATTTGACATACTTAAATTTGCTTGTTTTGTCCGTTCAAAAGTCCAAAACACAACAATATTCAATTTCCTATCATAGTGGACTGAGATAACGAATAAAACAAACAAACATTTACATTTGAGAAGCTAAAACCAGAGCATTTGTGCCAGTTGTGCTTAAAAAAATGAATGACTGTCAGACATGTTGCTGAACCTGAACTCTGTGATTTCCTGTAACCTCCTTGTTTTTAAACTGAGCTATTTTTGTTTGTTTGTTTATGAGATTGTTGCTCATGGTTGTGTTATTATTGTGGAAAAATAAGAAAGTCCAATAAATATACTGCTTTAAAAAAGAAAAACAAACTTGTTGCTGCTTTATTTTCTGTCCGTCAACTGGTCGATTACTAGTTTGGGTTCTAGTTATCTGAATGTATATGAGAAGGAACAGGGAAAAGTAATATAACAAAGTAAGATACAGTTACTGTTCAACTCCCATCTGTCAAGCTTGAACCATAAAAGTTGTTGCCAATGTATTATTTAACAAATAATCAACTACTACTGTGAGCTCTAGCTATTTGTAGGTATAAGAGTAGCAAAAACAAGTGAAAATATAAAGATAAATTCACTATTTAACTCACATTTGACAGGCTGGAACCAGGTTATTCTGTCTTAAAAATGATTCATGGATTAACAAAGTTTTATTTTCTGTCTATTAACTCATCTATAACCCCTTGAGCACTACTTATAGTACAGTTAAACACTATATTAAAAAAATAAAAGCAAGGAAAAAAAGGGGAACAAAGTAAGATCAATTCACCATCTAGCATCCAGATACAGCTTTAGCCCCAAGAATGAATATTAAAACATATATTTAACTTAATTACAGTGAGGCCCATATGATAAGTACTACCATTAAGTGAGTATAGTGCAATCACAACATACTATTATGTACTATAGAAGTGTTATATGAACATATCAAAGAGCTCCAGAGCTTTTTATTTTTTTATTTTTTTGGCCCTGGGGGAGGGCCAGCTGAAGCAGTGCTCCAGCCTAGTGGTGGAAACGAGGCAGGGCTGAGCAGGCAGGAAAATAAAAGCCACATAATATAATCTGAGCACTGAGAGGCAGCCCACTGTCTAAAATGTGAATATACACACACACACACACACACAAGAATTTAAGATGGAAACCCTTAATCTGCACCCAGCCTACGTCAGTTCTCGTGATATTTCTGGGAATAATGCAGTGAGATATTTTTTTTACACAGTTTTTCAGCACGGGAAGGAAGAAAAGAAGAAAAAAAAAAACCTCCGACAAAAATTAATAATAAAATGTCTCCTGCTTTAGACAATAAATAAATAAATAAATATCCAAACACACAGTCTACACAGTATTGACCTTGGGTATATCCTGTTATTGAAAAAAAAAAAAAAAAAAAGATCACAAGTTCATTACTGGAGAGAAAGAAAGAAGAAAACCTTTCAATGCTGCAATAAATTAATATTTAAAACAGGAAATATTATAAAAATACACAACCACCACTGGAATATTAAATATATCCCACGCTCACACATGAAGGAGATGTCAAAATAAATGACTTTGCTCGCTTTTATTTCGACTAAACATTGCACATTGCCCTAGCTGTGTGTCCTCTGGATGTTTCCTGTTGTTTTTTTTTGACAAACAGGATTTTAATCCTTCGTTATTTCAAGTACCAAAAAAAAAAAAAAAACTCCACGTTTCCTCTCTTTCAGACACACACACAGCCACAATATTAACATTCCTCCTTAAAAAACTGTGGTAATTACGCCGGAGACAAAATGTCGGGAGGGATTTTGATAATAATATCAATATGCTTCCTATTATAACCAACACTACTGCTGCTCCACCTACTCCCTGTCGACAAAATTATTTCTTTTAATGTCACGTCGGTGTACAAATTAAATGTTCAGAGTCAACGTTCAAGAAACAAAAATGTCGATGCAACGTCTCGCTGCTTTTTTTTTTTTTTTTTGTAAGAAAAAAAAAAAAAAAGAGGGAGGTTGTTGGACTAGCTTAAAAGTTTCCTGATATTTTTCAGGCAGGCAAACGGCCAGAAAATGTTTTTTTAATTTTATTTAGCTAATGTGTTAGTTAAGTGTGGGTGGGGGTTGGTAGCCATAGGAGAAAGCGGAGACTGTCGACACGACACACAAAGAAATTAATCATTAACACGGCGAAAAATATCAGAAATATTAAACTGCATTTTAACGGCTGAGTGTTCGATATCAAAACGAGGCTACAGCTCGGTGTCACCGCCGATTGTTCCCCCCCCCCATCCACCTCCCTCCATAAAAAAAAAAAAAAAAAACACTAAATATCAGCGGTTTATTTTCCACCTCTGGAAAACGGTGGAAAGACTGTGTGTGTGTGTGTGTTAAATTAAAAAATAAAAACCAAAAAAAATAAATTAAAAAAAGTTGAGCCTGGTTGAATAAAGTTGTAATTGCAGTCGGGAGCAAAACTCTCTCCCGTGCCTGGGGTTTGGTTGATATGAGCAGAAAAAAACAATCAATACGACCGTGGTTCACATAAAAAAACGCGAAATTTAAGGCTTCAAATTCACAGCGACACACGGTTACAATATTCCCCCACATCAACAGGTCAGAAAACCCGCCGGGTCCGAGTGACATTAATCGACATTTATTTGGAAATTATATCGGCTTTACCTGTATTGCATTGTGCTCCATTGCAGTCCTGCATTCCCTCTCTGAGGCCCCTCTCCGGTTACACCGCCGGGACTCGCCGACACACAAACAAACGCACCAGAAAGAGAGGAGAAAAAAAAAATAATAAAATAAAAGCCTCCTTTTTTTGTCTGTCTGTGTGTGTGTGTTTTTTTTTTTTTTTTTTTTTTTTTGTGGGAAATGGGACAGGATCTAGGTGTGGCCAAAGTTTGCCACAGAGTACAACTTAATGTTAAAGTCGTGAAACGGCAGTTGAAGCATCTTTAGCTTCAGTGACGTGACGTACTTCCGGTTGACACGGCACATGTGGGCGGGGTTTGATTTGATACGAAGGGGGTTTTAAATCAAAAATATCAAAAAATATCATTAAATTATATAAAATAATGGCTGTGGAGACCCGTGGGGGGTGTTTATTTGTGTTCTTTTGTGAGTTTTCTGTTTTATTTGAATAACTTTTTGTATTTTTATCAACAGCTGCAATGTGAAATGTTGAAACTTGTAGGCTTACTGGTTGGTATCTTTGATTGTGGCACATATTTTAAGCCTCAACTATATGTTACTCATCTTTTATTTACTAAATTTCATGTTCAGAACAGAGAATTTACAGGTAAAAACTTTTGGCTTTTTTTTTTTTTTTGCTTAAAAAAATTAAGTTGTTGCTGATTTATTTTGGGTCCATCACCTCTATCAATAGTTAGAGCTCTAGTTATTAATAGGTATATGAGCAGGACAAACAAAGAAGATAAACTCATGATATAGCTCACATTAGACGAACTGGGACCAGAGAATTTTGGGCCGTTTTGTTTGAAACATTATGAACTGATTAACAAAACTGTTACAGATCTAGCCTACTAGTTTATTAATCCCTTGAGCTTTATATAAAACATGTTGTAGTTAAGAGAATAAAGTGGAGCTGTGAAGAGAGTTGAGCTGATCATTTAATATCCTTTTGTGAGAATTGGGAATAACGTTTCTATTTTTAGTCAAACATTGACTCGATCCACTTTTCTATAACGGCTAACAGTTATAAAATCTATTTACGTTTTGTTTGTTTAAAACATTATTTAAGATTCTGTTGTGTAACATTTACGAGGATGTACTGGCAGTAATGGACTATAATATTCATCGGTATGTTTTTATTAATGTATAGTCACATGAAAATAAGATTTGTTGCATTATTGTTACCTTAAAATGAGGTTTTAAAGGGGGAAGTGGGTCCTCTTCCACGAAGGCCGCCATCTCAAACCGCCATGTCTACAGTAGCCCAGAATAGACAAACCAAACACTGGCACAGAATACGATAATACCCATGAGGCTCGGCCACCGTTGCCATGGAGAAGAGTATTTCCACCAAACTTGAACCCAAAGTAATAAGTTTTCCTAATCTTTAGCTTCCACTTCAGCAGTGCCTGTAACAGAACATTAAGCTCTATGATTGGATGTTTCTTGCCGAAATGCATCATGGGACTCGTAGTTAACTTCTCCCCCCCCGACTCTTTTAGGGACACAAACTTGTAGGGCCCTTTTTTCTTATCAAAGAACACAGTTGATCCATGCTAATCTGAGCCAGTGGAAGAGCTCCAACTGTGAGTCGGGGGAATGTGAGTCTCAAGTGACCACTTGAGTTCAGCCCCTCACTTCCCCACTCTATATGCAAACAAAAACATACATCACTTCAATCTGCAAAGACCAAATCTATTGTTTTTTTTTAAACCGAATTTGAGCTAAAGTGGACAAACCTACATCCATAGGGCTGCTTTTGTTTATATCTGCATATGTCTTCCAGTGATCTTTTTTGAATGGCGAATGCAGACTCCCGCCACCTGCTGGTGTGGAGAGTTATTACCTCCCACGCAAGCACAGAGCGTATGTGCTTGTAGGTTGCCCGCTGTAGTCGGTGCAGTGTGGTTTAATGTCACCTTTTGGCCAAGACGAAGGCGACTTGAGGCGTTGCAGCAGTCGGCTTTCGTCGCCACTAGTTCTTTGACATTGGTCCGGTGTGTCAGGGCCCTTAGCACTTGTGATCAGATCACCCAAGACACATGTTAATGCCAGGTGTAAACAGGGGCCTGAAATAGATCTTCTCACTTCACAACTCTATTGTAACACCACCCCCACCCCCGTGTTGCCTTATTTAACCTTTTTAAACTTTAAAATATAGTGTTTATGGTCATTTTATGTCCCTAAAGAAGAAGGTGGGGGATGGGGGGGAGTTAAAAATACTGTAGAGACATCCATCAGCCTGTAATAACAGCATCTGAACACAAAGTCTAAATATATGCAGTCCCTTTTTTTAGCTGCCATATTCACATACAGTCATTAAAACACTAATAACACACAGGTCATATGCACAATCCAGGGAGGTAGCATATATATCCCTGGAATTAAGCTTTAAAAGAGTATATCCAAATAGAGTAGACATCCCTGTGGGAATATAAAGCTTGAATATTCATTGGCATAAATAATCAGACCTGTAACCATGGCAACAAAAGGCTTAAACGCAGCTTGCTGTGGTGAAAGTGTTCAAAGCTTTCTAATAAAAGTACCAATACAACTATATGCTATTTAAAAAGAGAAGAGTCCATTACAAGTGAAAGCACTGAATGCAAATATTACTGAAATAAAAGTAGTAAAATCAGCTGTAAATTATGTTATTATATAAATTATTGGATTACTTTACTGATGCATTAATGTGTACAGCTGTGGAAGATCTGATACTTTACTTATGTGAAAGTACCCATATAGCAATATAAAAATACTGTATTACAAGTTAAGGTCCTGTATTCTAAATCCTACTTAAGTAAAAGTATTATCTGGTAAAGCTACTTAAAGTATCACAAAGTATAAGTATACTCATTTAGGCCACTTTTAGTGTATATTATTATGAAATCATTAGATTGTTAGTACTGATGCATGAATGTGTAAGCAGCATTTTACTGCTATAGCTGCTCGTGGTGAAGCTCATTTTAAATAATTTATATACAGTTAGCTAGTTTAGTCCAGTGGTTCCCAACCTGGGGGTCGGGGGCCCTCCAAAGGGTCACCAGAGAAATCTGAAGGGTCGTGTGATGATTAACAGGAGAAGAAAGAAGAAAAAACAAAGTTCTGATACACAAATCTGTTTTCAGTTTTTGGACTTTTCTTTAATCTTTTTTTTGTTGAAATGTTCATAATGTTCTTCGGGCCTCAAACAGTTATTTAAATGAAACCATGTGAGAAGTTTAGAGCTGAAATGGCTCTTCGGTTAAACTAATAGAAATCTGAAACATGACAAGGAGATTAAACTGCTGTTACATAAGGCAGAAAATGAGAGAGAGTTTAATGTTTAACAATACATTATTTAAAAAAATATTAAATTAACTATATGTCAAATAATTGTTGTGACGTAAATAAATATAATTGTTACTTAAAGGACAAATATTACTCAATTAAAGTGTAAGTACCTCAAAATTGTATGGAAGTACTGCACTTGTACAGTATAATGTTGTATCTACTAGAGTTAGAGCTATATATATATATATATATATAATATATATTTTATAATATTTTTATGTATATAAGTAAGTCCCAAAGAACTCAAATAATCAGCACATAGAAGCATAAATTACTAATATGCCAAACAAGAAAGATTTTATCATTTTAATGGGAAAGTTAAAGCTTTATTAAGAACACTATTAAGATATGACAATAGTTGAATGCACTATAAATGTAATACAGAGTATAATATTAAAAGAAGGAAGTACTGAATACTTCTTTGGCTCTAGCAGTCAAACCATGTGGATCATATATCATTAAAATATTGTCACTCTTCAGTAATTTACTGCTCTGAAAGGCTCCAAGCTTCAGAATCTCTACTACTTTTTTACTCTTTAGTACTTTTTGCATTTCGGGTTTATTGGACTTCTATTTGAGGATTTATATCTTCTTGGCACAAACACAAGCGAAAGCAAAAGCATTCAGTCACACTATGAAAAAAAATCCGATCTAACTTCCTGTTGTTGTCAGATTTATTGATAAGTCAGATATGAGCAACATTTACATCCATATTCTTATACCAGAAGCAGCATAAGTGATCAGGCACATTTATTCCTGTCTATATGTCTAAATCCGCGGTTTCCAACCTGGGACCCCCACAAGGGGCCCTGAGATTGAGAAGAGGTCGGCAGATGATCGGGGTGGACACATAATAAAAAACTAAAGTCTACTAATTGAAATTATGTTTATTTTTTGGGATTCTTCTTTGATCTTTGCTTCTTTCTTCTACTGTAATACGATAAAGTTTGACCTTTTCAGGCCTTTAAGTGAATTAATCTGAGAACGGAAAATCTCTTCTATTGAACTGCTCGCATTTATATTTATGAAACCTGTTACGAGGGGTCACAAGCAGATATGGCTTTCTATTAAGGGGTCCTAAGACAAAGAGACTGTGGCATGGAAGGGTTTTTGGGGATGTTTTACCTTACGGGAGCGAGAGTTTGGCAACTAAAAAACCCATTTTATTTACATGTAGCATCTTGTTAACTAACAGGAAATCGTTTGAAAAAGACTTGACTGTGACGACGGGACTTTGATCAAGATTGTTGAGCTACGATGTCTCATCAGTAAATACTGCACATCTTTGACAGATCTAGGCTAACAGTACCCTCTGCTTCCAGTGTTTATGCTAAGCTAGGCTTACCATATCTGTGCACTGATACCAGTCTTTTCTTCTAACACCAGAGAAGAAAGCAAACAAGATTGTTTTCCAGATTTTGTCAGATTTGACGATGGGCCTCTTAAAACTAATTTAGTTTAGTTTATTGATTTAATATCATAATATAATTTCATAAAATAACTGATAACGTAATTTTTATATTGTTTGGCAGACTGGTCTCCGTTCCAGAGAGTTATATCAGATTATTGGAATATTATTACTGATGCTTTACTCGTAAGCAGAATTTTAATGTCACAGCTGGTGTTGGTGGATTTATTTATATACTGTTGTTTATATAGGTTTCTATAGCAAAGGATCATATTTTATAAATTGTTTGTAAAAAAGTGTTAAGTATAGCTCCAGCTGTCAGACAAATGTAGTGAAGTAAAGTGCACTTGTGTATTAGTACTTGAGTAAATGTAATTAGTTACTTTCCACCACATCCTGTGTGGATTTAACATTTTTTCCTGTCTGCCTGCATGGGTTTCCCCCCTAAACTCTGTCTTGTTTTTAAGACTCAAACTCCTTTAAGGGTTAAATTAAATTAAAATATTCTGCTCCCTATACCACAGGAGAAAATTAAATATTAAAATATATATTACAAATACACATTCATGATCAGTGTACACATAAAAATGGTTAAAACCAAGGCTTCGTGATGCAAACACTTTAGGTGAAATGTAAGCGCAGCCTCTCAGCTGATGTGATTAACAGCTTGGTTGGTGATTTTGTACAGAAACGTGATCTCACACTGGACTCATGTACCCTGCTGTGAGAATACATAACTGCTGTTACCAGTGGTCTCCAGTAGGGGGAGGAAGCACGTGTCTGTTCAAACTTCCACAAAGCTGAACTGAACTCCCCCCTCCCCCCCCCCCCCCCCTCCCCCCATGAGGCTCAAGCATGAGAAGGCAGGCCTCAACTAAAACACTCACACCAGCCTTTGTGCTCATGAAACTGAGCAATAATTGTTTCAGACTCTGTTCTACTTTGTGTCACAGATCCAATTTTGTTTTTTTTCTGAAATCTCAAGATCAAACTCAACAAAGATGCTTTGGAAACAAAAGCAGAGACGTCAGCTGTTAATTAAAGTTGATTTCAGACTTTTTAATTTCAATGTTTCCCATACACAAGAAAGATTCAGGAAGTATCCAGATCCTTTACCTAAAAGAACTAATATACCACACTGTGAAAGTAAGTAAAGTAAAACTCCTGCTTTTGAAACCTTCTAAGTAGTCGTGTGATTTATAGTAACGTATGATATGATGGATAATGTAATCTGTAAAGTGACATAGTATAACACAATACAGGGTTTTTGTTTCTGAGGTACAATGTACATATGAGTTAATTCCCCCATTGCCATCAAGTTGAGTCAGACTTCAGTTGCGATAGTATTTCCTAACTGCTGACGTAGCAAGTATGACCAATTTAAGACCAGTACCAAAAGTAACAGCTTTGCAAAAATGACCCCCTTTCAGGGTGGGAGGTTATGGAGCTCTCAAGGTCCTGAAAGATTTGTCGTCGACGCACACACACGCACACTTTAATCTATTGCACACAAGATAATGATTTCTTTTAACAGAACAAGTACTCTTTGTGTGCAGTAAGATTGAAAATATTTCCCTGGACTTCAGTGGTTCTCCTGTTGGTTTTGTTGTGGAGCCAATTTACAACTTTATCATTCTTATTAGTTCATGATGACCTTTTTGGAAATTCCTGTGTATCTTTGCACAACTCCAAGCTGAGCAGGACTAATCACATAACTCAAAACACCTGGGTCTTCGAGGCCTTGAATTTATAATAATGCATTTTAGTAAGTTGATCATGTGTTTTATATGTAAAATCAGAGTAAATATAGCAGTGAAATAAATGAAGTGGTGGAGCAGGGTTGGGATGTAATCCGATACAATTACCTGTTAAAAATATAGTTAATAACCTAATCTATGTATCACAATATTAAAGTAACATATGCTTTCTGTTACTTTTGGATGATCTTAAAACCAAATATGCAAATAAAGAGAAAAGAAAATATGAATAAGATGACTTTCACTTGACTGTATTTTATAAGACAACAGAACAATGTAACCTTAGTAAAGAAAATGGGAACCAAGATTTTTAGCATCAAAATGTGTCCTCTGGCAGTAGACTACAGACCATTTTCACAACTGAAAGGCAGAACTTGCTCTGTAACTGTGATGTTGTTCCCATTTTTTGCTTTAAAGACAAAATAATGTTGAAAAAACATGAATCGGAAATCCTCAAGTAAAGTACAAGCAACTGAGCCACCAGAGCCTGAAATTACATTAATATACTACCAAGTTGCTGCAATCACCTAAATACAATACTTAAATTAAATACACCTTCATAGTTTTCTTTTAAACACTTCAATCATGTGGTTTTGTGCTGAGAGACGACACATCAATAACTACTACACAGCTTTGATTGTGTTACTGCTGTATGGAGCCGAGCAGCTGGAGAGGTTCTTTACTTTCAGACATCAGCGACCGTGTGGCAGGAACAGGCTGCAGCAGACTGTCTGCAGGAGCACAACAAGGCTCCAGGCTGCAGCTCCACTTTGTCCTCTGCATGTCAGTGAGAGCTGCAGCAGCACAGCAGCAGAGGCTTCACTGCTGATGAAAAGAGGTGTTCTGCAGTGAAGCACACTGATGATATTATCACTCAGAATTAAAACCAACAATTGAGTACAAGAATAATCTGGCTAGAGCACACCTTAGATCTTGTAAAATGTCAACGTTTGATAAACAGATAGGAACAGATACCACACTCAGGTTTAGTCAAATCAGACTTTATTAACATGAAAAGCTGAGATTGCTCCTCCCTTTAAAACTAGCTGCTGTGTTTTCTCATAGACGGTTTGTTTCATCTGTGTTTCTGACAGAAGTAGAGGAAGTATTCAGAGACTTTACTTAGTATAATACCACATCGTGAAAATACTGTTAAAAGTAAGTGCTGCATTGAAAATGATAAGTATGTAAGTTGGGGCGTGTCCATAGGAGGGATTGGGGGACCACCCCTGAAATCTGATTGGCCATCATAAATTTTGGCGATGGAACAAAGCATGCATTTTTTTGAATGTGATATAAATTATTATTGTTATTTTCGCCTAGCATGTTGAATATTTCTGCCTACTCGGGTCCCTAAATACTATTGGAATTGCACAAATTGGGAATGAATGGAAAGCTGAGACACATGCTTGTACACATACTGTATGTAAGCATAATCAGGAAAATGTACTTCAAGTATTATGTAAAGTAAAAGTACTCAGTGTGACTTTTATACTATTAGGTATTGTATTATTAGATCATTATTACTCATGTTTTAATGTAAAAGCAGGATTTTACTGCTCATTTGATAAAGGACTGTAACTAATGATTATTTGCATTATTTTCTCCATAAAAATCAAATTATTATATAAAATTATAATTTATCTAATTTTCAGAACTTCTACTTTCTCTGGTGAAACCCTCAGCATGTTCACTAACATGTGATCTGCAAATTATTATTATCATTTGTTGATCAGTTGACGAAACGCTGCATTTCCTTGAGATCACCTGACATTTTTAAAGCTATTTGTGGGGGGGGGGGGGTTTGCCTTTATTGAATAGGAACAGCTGAAGAGAGACACGAAAGGGGGAGAGAGGGGGATGACATGCAGCAAATGGCTGCAGGCTGGAATCTAACCTGGACCTCTGCGGTAAGAACTCAGCCTTAGTAAATGGTGCACATGCTCTACCAGGTGAGTTACTGTGCTTAGTCTTTTTAATTGGCTTAAAGGTCCAGTGTGTAACATTTAGGCGGATCTATTGGCAGAAATGTATAAAATCTTTATAGGTATGTTTTCATTTGTGTTTAATCACCTGAAAATAATAATCATTGTGTTTCCGTTACCTTAGAATGAGACATTTTTAATCTACAGAGGAAATTAGTGCTCTTTTACAAAGGCTGCCATGTTGAACCGCCATGTTTCTACAGTAGACAATAGATAAACCAAACACTGGCTCTAGATTGAGCCTTTCACATTTGTGGAAGTTTTGCTGCACCATAGTTTTTCCTACACGTTTGGTTAAGATGTATTCAAATGGTTGTAATCTACAACTTCACCACTGGATACCACTGAATCCTACACACTGGTCTTTTAAAGATGCCCTCTGGAGTTTTCAGTTATGTTTACAGTTAATCACACAATGAATGAATCCTTAAGGTCTAACAAATGTGTTAAATTTCCTCCCTCATTAAACATTTGCAAAGCTAATTTGTTAACCATTTTTAATCCTGCATTGTTACCATCCATGTTTACTAGCTAACGGTCTTCTTCTTCCCTGCCTTTCCTGGTGCACTGCTGCATATCCAGGCATGTTACCGCCACCTGTAGGTCAGTGAAATAGCGCGACACCATTGCTAGTACTTTATCGCATTACCTCGGGTGCACATACACAAACAAAACGGGGACTCACTCACAGAAACCAGCTCCATAGTGCCATTAAAGTTCAGGAACTCCACAGGAACCATTTAATGTTTCTAAATGCAAAACCAAAAACATTACAGTTTGTAATTGAAAATAAAAATAGCTACTGAAGCTCTGAAGGAGTGAAACTCATTCATATAATATTAACAAATTTAGCTAAATTAAAATATTGCAGGCTTTAACAGAACAGAAAAACCTATTTTAGAATCCAATTTGCTCTGCTTCAAAGTATGTGTATTATCTGCATCCTCTCTGGTCTTATTTATCTTCCTCCTCTTCTTCGTCGCTCTCCCCATCACTGTCCTCTAACAGTCGGGACTGGAGAGCCAGCCGCTGCGCCACAGCCGTTACCATGGCAGCGCCCTTCCCGCTGCCGTCCTCCGAGACGAGGAAGGTGATGTCACACTCAGGGGCAAGGAGGCGCACCGTCGCTTTGAGCTCGTCGCTGAAACTACGGAGGGGAGGAGAGGAACAGAAATGGGGAGGGTGGGATTGAAAGAGATGAGAGAAAATTCAGTGCAGAGAGAGAAAGAAAGGAAGGAAGGAGGAGAAAAAGACAAAAATAAAAATAAATAATTGACAAGTACAATATGTTGCACACAGAATCTCTATCACGAGAAAGTGTTTTAGACAAGAATAAATTAAATTAAACTTTATTAAAATGGCAAATCAAGTGCACAAAGCAGTGCAGACTAACATATATATGTACAGTGGTAATATATAAATAAACTGGAAGTGGTATTTATGAACACACTAAGACTTGTAAAGTATGAACATGTGCAGCAGTTATAGAAGGAAAACTAGTGCAGGTATAATTTAAATGCAACATCCGCTGAAGGAATGTGTTGAACATCGTTAAACACATGAAAGGAAATAATAATGAAGGAAAGAGGAAGTGGCGGAACCTCTGAACAGTGATTCATAGTATTTTCTCAACATGCTGTTCTTCTCACAAAGGCAGGAAGTTTATTAATATGTCACCACGGAGCGCCACCTCCTGCCTGTTCACACAGACAGATAAATATGATTTCACATCTCCTCAAAACTGAGAAGAATAAAAAAAAAAGAGGAAAAAATAAACTCAGGACTTCCTCCTGTTTCCTGTCATTGCTGCCTCAATGACAGCACGGCTGCGTAGAGACCCACAAAATAAAAAAAATGATGAAATTTGTTTTAACATTTACTGATAAATGTGTCAACTTGTAAGAGCACATGGAAGTTCCTGCTTTACTGACTCTCGAAACTTTACACTTCTCAGTTTTTCAGTCAACAGGACAGTTTGTCAACTAGACTTAATGTATTTTTCAGTAAAAGTCACATGGCTGTCTTTATTTTATAATTAGAGCAGGTTTTTATTGTGTATTGTGTATTTATGTTGGTGTTTAGCAGCCAGCTGTCACAAGCTTGAGGGTCCTTGAATGCACCACAAAGAAGAAATTTAAGTAAGTGCGTCACCAAAAGTAATCAAACCCAACTTTTGAATGAATGATGGGTAAAATTACATTCAGCCACATCAGAGGTCGGACACCTACATTGATTGAACCCTTTCATTTAACCCCCAGCAGTATAGTAACATTTAATAAATGGTTTATAACACACTATAATGTAGCTGTAAGCTGATATAAAGTGTTAATTGATGCAGTTGCAACAATTTTAACTTAACTTACTTAAATAAACACTTATAATGTCCTTAAATCTGCCTATAAATAAATTTTAATATGTTTATTACAGGTTTATATTTTTAAAAATGATAAATAGGAGGGGTTAAAATTGTTCATTCAATTCAACTTTCAGCTCTCTAAATTTAAACCACTTTACATGCAGGCATTCAAATGGTTTTCCTTTTGTCTGTATTTCCCACACATTCCCTCTTACTTGGGGTGTTTTCTGTAGACAGTCCCGTCCACCCCCACTGTGGTCTTCAGATGGTCCAGCCCGCGGTTGACACGGATGCGGTTGGCGATGGTTGCCAGGGCAGCGGCGCAGAGACGAGCGGAGCGCGAGGAGATGGTGTCGCAGACCAGACGCACAACGCGGGAGTCGACCAACTCCCACTTCAAACCCAACTTAGTCAGAATATTCTGGGCGTTTTCAAGACCGTTGTCCTGCCTGAATCAGAGACACAGACAGAAATAAACAACAACATGAAGGACCAATCAGGACTCATGAATGAAGAATCAAAATGGTCAAATTATACAAAGTAATTTAGTTTAAGAGAGACTAATATATTGACTTTGAGGAACAAGGAAGCGCTCCATTATTAGGTCTTTTTAACTTCCTGTCTACACAGGAAGTGGGAATGCGTCACGTTGTGTAGCTTGACATCTGCAGACACAGCTGGAAGAACATGAAAGAGTTTCTGTTGGCTGGTTTTAGAACTCAAGACACGTCACCTGTTTCAGCAGCCAATCAGCTCATAGCAAAGTTACCTGCGCAAGTCAGTTACAAACTGTCAGCTGGTTGAAATGACAGAGTTTTGGACAGAGGAGAGAGAGAGAGAGAGAGAGAGAGAGAGAGAGAGAGAGAGAGAGAGAGAGAGAGAGAGAGAGAGAGGATCACCTCATCAATTGGATTGAGTGTCTGTATGACACAAGCTTTAAAATTTACTCATGCCCCCACAGATCCAAATTCTCTGTACCTCTCTATTCACTATCCTCATTCATATTTTAGGACGCCATAAATTATATCCAGCTGCAAAAAAAACAGCCTGAAAAAAACAGCAGTCAGAACGAAAAGGACAGAGATTCGTTGCTATGGAGACAATACACCATCTCATCTAAGTTGCATTGGTGTAAAGTGGCAGGTTTTCATAATGTTGCAGACTGGTGCATTACAAGTAGTTGCAAAGTTTTGGTCTGAACTGGGCTTTATGTATAATAGTCATGGTGACAGTTCAATGTGTGTATTCATGTTTTATTCATGTGTTTATAACAATATGATCTCATCACAGACACTGAATGGCTGCTGTACAGTGACACTCTGATTATACAGTAAAATCAGGTTTACTGCGGACCAGTGACAAACAGAGAGACAGCTGTCTATATGAACATCCTCACTGCGCTGCATTATTATAAACTACTTTGTGATGAACTGGCCATATCACTTTCCTGCCTCTTTCTCTCCTTTCAGTTTTCATGCTTGACTTCGGTCTTCTTGACTTTGTAGTTGCTGTGGCTACTTTGTTTGTTATGTTGGTGCTCAAGTTTGCAGTTTGGTGTAGTGTAAAACGTTCTAAAATGGTGTTGAAAATGTTGTTAATAGGGCTACACAATTAATTTAAGTGTTATTGGAATCGCAATACGGCCAAGTGCGATATCCAATTTGCAGAAGCTGCGATTTGTTGATGAGGGTGAGATGTGTGATTATACAGTATTATAATGAAGTACTGTAGTGCTGCAGAGATGTGCTTGACCTATAAATCTTGTTCTCCAGATGTAATAAAACACGTTTGTTTGGTACAGACCCTAAGAAATGTCACATCATCATGATTTTAATAGTTTTTTTCAGTGAAAATGAAAATTGTGATGCAAAAATGATCATTCTCACAAATTGTGAATTATATCGCAATCGTAATTTAAAATATTACAGCCCTAGTTAATACCTACTATATATAAATCATCCTGGCCATGCCAGTGAATGCAAATGTCGGGCAGCATTTAGTATTATGTCATTATATAGACTGACTTTCTCTCAGCACACCCAACTCTGATGGACTCCCAGCATCCCTAGGAGACTTATGATGTTAAACAGATAGAGGAGTATGGAGTTTGCATCGACGAAAAACTGCAACAACAAATTAACACAGCAAAAAAGTTACTAATAAAGACCTGTCTATAATAGCCTGTCAGAGTTAAAGAAAAGCCCTGTCTACTATTTGATAAATTCAAGAATTAGTGCTTAAAAATGTGTTAATTAATGCTTAAAATGTGATATATTCTGCTTAAAAATGTAATTAGAATAAATATACATTACAAAAGTTTAAAACAATTAAATTTCTCTTTAAAGAAAACACTGAAATGGATCAGTTTTGAGCGCCAGATCATAAAATTTATGACTCAAAACCACAGTCTTGATGCCTGCTGATGAAAGGTGGATGACTGTTATAAGAAGTGCTTTGTCAAACACTCACTCCTCAATCTCAGAGATGAACTTTGTCTCAAATCTGCCCGGAGTCTTCAGCGCCTCTGAGGACTGTCCCTTAAACAGCAGCTTGTCCTCGGTCAGCTTCACCAGCACCAGCCGAACGATTTCTCCCAAATACATACCGCTGATCATCTTCTCAAAGCTACAGGAGGAAACAAGAAGCAGAATATCAGCTATAAAAAAACGAAAGTTAAAAATAGCACAAACACACTTCAAACAGCTGCTTCTTTTGCATTTTCTCCCCATTTTTCTCTTCATTTTCCATTACTGAAAGCTTTTGCAGAGCTGTTCTGATCACAAGAGAACCTCAGGCGTAGATTGAAACATCTTAACAACTAGAACTTGAAATACCACTATAAAAAGGCCTTTTGTTCTATGACCCTGACAAAAGCTTGATGTCAAAACTTGTTGGAATTTGTTTTTAAATCTAAATTGACCATGTCGTAACAGGTAAAAGTTTTCACTGTGGAATATCTGAACACTGCTACACTACACTACTTGATGAAATGGTTCACAGACAATATATCCCATTAACTTCAGTGATCATTTGACTTTTCTTCTAGCGCCACCACGAGGTAGACATTTGCAGTGATAAGTGAAATATCTATACTATCCGATGGCTTGCCATGAAATTTGGTACAAATATTAATGTTCCAGAGAGAATGAATCATGATAACTTTGATTATCCGCTGATTTTTCATCTAGGACGTTGACATCGTACGTACGTGTGGACGCCAGTGTTGATGGACATCTTGTCCACCACCCGATCAAACTCCGTCTGGATGTCTTTCAGGGAGCCGTCGTCTCCGAAGCCGCCCCACTCTGTGTTAATGCACATCCGCCCGTCCTCGCCCTCCACGCGCTTCACGTTCTTCATCTCCTCCATGTAGCAGGCATTGGTTCCCGTACCTACAGAGGAAGAGAAGAACAATAGAGGATCCAGCAGATTAAATCTAATTTGTTTGTGGATTGGCTTTTTTGTGTTTGTTTTCTTGTGTGCCATGTGGATTCAGCTGCCATCTAGGCTCCAACTTAAGCTACCACACAGCCAGCACACAAAAACAACACAAATTAGGTTATCTGAGCATGTGGCAACTCCTGATATTTCTGCTCGTGACATTACTGAAACAATAACACATGTTAGTTATTTGCCTTGGTCTCATTATTTTCTAGTTTTTATGTAAAAATAGAATCAGGGAATTAAGTTTGATCATCAAAAAACCTGCATGTTCTCTTCTAAAACCACAATTATATCTATTATACACCCTTAAATATGTCTTGGTATGTCTGTCAATAAGCTGCACTTGTAGGTTTGGGCTTAAAGACTTATTACTATGACAACAGTTCCAGATAAAATTTAAAGAAGCTTCAAAGAACCAAAAGAATCAACATCCACAATATGATCTAAACAACTACGTTATCCATAAGATTGGGAACCCAGAAATATGTACACCACAATCAAACCTTCCTGTTCGTTCTCCACCTTTATTGTGTTATTATGTGTCAATCTCTCCAACACACACACACACACACACACACATAAGAATGGTGTAATCATTTCCAGAGGGACGCCGTTTTCTTCATATTCCAGCGAGCTCTCAAACCAAACTAATTACAGCAGAGAAAGGAGACATTTCACTGCCACAGCACGACCCTGATTATATCTAATGTGATCATGCTGTCGAGGAGCCTCTCCTGTTCACCAGGTAAAACACATTATGTGCGTTAGGTAAGAATTAATATGTTCTATAAGGCTCCATACCACCTGAGAGAGGACACGGTTTTCTATAATTTGCTTTCAGAGTGAAGAACAGCCTCCTGGTTGATGTCAGTTTTCAACAATACCAGTTATTGTATCTGCAAGGTTGGAACAATACTTTGAAGAAACATGCATCTACTGTATATTAATGTTAGCAGCTGTCATATCAGCAACATATTTTTTTGTGGCGTGAATATAAACTTGTCACATGCATCGTTACAGGCCACTTCTTCTCAGTTCAGCAATGATCAGTACAAGTATAGAAAGTCGTGACATTACTTCCTGTCTGGCCTCTGTTCCACTAGCTTCTGTAACGTCTGTAAAATCTCTCATTCAGCATTTCTTTCATCTTTCTGACAAGAATAAAGCGTGTTCCTGAGGTTTACTTTCCATATTCCACAGATAAATCAACTTTTAGTTGTCAAAGTTTACCATGATCACCATATTAGTTTAGCCTGTTACAACTCGCAGCTCAGGCTGATGTCATTGGTTTTTCAGGTATGAACCAAAGTGTTGGTAAAGGAAAAAGATAATAGATCACTAAATTAATTACAGGTATTATTTATTTCGAAGTTTACTTTTCCCCGGCTGAACCCAGGTAAGAACAGCAATAATAACAAGCTGCATTATAAACTAAAACCTTTCATGAAGAAAGAAAATTAGGTTATAATTAGGATCAGCAGCTTTCAGCTATGTACATACATACTGTAGTAGAATGTAAGTACTTAAGTACAGTGTTGAAGTACCTTTATTTTACTTCAGTAATTCCATTTTATGCTACTATATACTTTTACTCCACTACATTTATTTGATAACTTTAGTTACTTTGCAGACACAGATTATTAATACAAACTATATATCAACTAATAAATTATGACATGTTATTATAGATTAAGCTACTCAGCAGTACTAATTCTAATCCGTCCAATATATATGACTTTGAAATAGGCCTAATAAGTACTTTTACTTCAGTATGTTTTGATGCTAATACTTTGTTTATTAAAATGTTTGGTTACCAATGATCATGCCGATTTCACAGCTCTGGTCCCTGTAGCCGCAGCTCATCATCGTGCCCACTGTGTCGTTCACCATGGCAACTGAGCCTATATCATAGTCCTGCGGAGAGACAGAGCGATAGACAGGTGGGTTTATGTCCTTCCTATTTATAATCTGTATACCAAATAACCTGCCTACACACACATTCATTATGCTAGATCCGTCCGTCAAGAGAAACTGCAGACTGTGACATTGCCTTTTAATGAGAGTCTGAGCTGCATTCTGACAGAGAGCAAAGAAACAAGAGACGGAGAGACAAACATCTAATCAGCTTCATGCAACACCCAGAAATATCACAGCAAAAATCAGTTATTGCAGGGTTAAATAAAACAAACTTGTACTAAAAATATCAAAAGTAAATAAAGGCTGAACTTATTTTAATTACTTTATACACTGTTTGCAAGTCTTAGCAACTCTTTGCAAACCACCAAAGGTTCCAGTTCAACTGTGTGGCAGAAAGTACTTTGTAGTAATTTGATTAATGGCACATTTGTTCGGCAATATGCACCTCTAATGTCACAAACTGAAACTATTATTATCCTAATTATTAAGCTATGTGGTACTTCAGGTCAAACCGGCAACAATTCACTCAATCAACCTGAACGAACCCTTAGAAGATGTTGTCCTTCCAGTTATAAAGTAGATCACGGTATTCTAGGAACTCCGGTTACATGACAAAACTGATCTTATCTCACCATGAGAAATCCTGCTAAATGGAGCTAAAAGTTCCTACCTAAAAGTTTTCTAAAAGGACTAAAAAACAACATCTGTTACCATCACTACAAACAACCACAAGTAGTGCAGTTCATCACGTAAACAGGCTTGTAGGACAGATAATGTTGCATACAGGGGCACGTGAGATCCAAACCAAGACTCAAGATTAAAGTGATCATTGAATGGATCTCAACAAAGAAACTCCCAAGATTCTTATCTGTTCTTTGTGTTTTCAACTGAACTCATACATGACCAGAGCTGCAACTACTCTACAAATTATTTCCTTGATCAATCAATGGAGCTTTTTGTCTATAAAATGTAAGAATATAGTGAAAGTTTCCTGTTATGGCTTCCAGCAAGTGTGCAATGGTAGAACAAGGTATACAGTGAATGGGAATGAGAGAGTACGGAATCAGAGAAATAAAACATTTTCTGATTGTTTTACAGCACCTCATTACCAGTGCAGTACCAGACTTTGTGCTGAAGCTGCCCTGTCTGCTGTGTGTGGCTCAGCCCCGCCTCAGCCCAGACACACAGACCTGCAGCTCTATACATTTATAGTCTTGCGTGGACTTATCTCCACACTTTGTTTTAGTGCTGTGCCAGAGCTGCAGAGCAGAGGAGACAAATGGTGACAGCGACCTGGTTGCCTGCTCTTTTTATTTTTTTTTTTATAGAGTCCCAATTTCATACCCTGGAGCTACCCAAAGGTTGGTGCCCAGAAACAAACCCAGAAAAATAAGAAAATACAGGCAGAGGGCATGGTCTCAGTAGAGTTTTAAGGAAAATCCTACTTAATATGCCTTTAGGTGACATATTTATATAGCTTGTTTTATTTCACCAAGAGACCAAAACCCAAAGATATTCAGGTAATAACGATATAAAATAGAGAAAAGCATCGAATCCTCACATTCAGTAAACTGGAACTAGATAATCCTAAACATATTTGCTTGAAAATGAAGATTAATCCAAATGTTTGCTAATTAATTTTCTGTCAACTGACAAACCAATCAACTGACTGATCATTGCAGCTCTCAACATGACATCTCATTATTCTGCCCATCATATTGCTTTACATCTTTCCACCAAATGTTTTCATCAAATAACCATATGAGCCTCAATATCTTAGACTGACCCCTCTCCTGTGAATGGCCTCTTTAAGTAACTTCACCACGTCTTTGCCCTCCACTCCAGAGCAGTTGAAGCCTTTGGTCCAGCGGATCAGGATGCTCTGTGTAGAGAGAACATTTAATTAGAATATTAAATATGAAAGAATAAGATATGTTCTTTCTAAAAAAAAAAAAAAAAAAACCCTGGTATCGGACCTCATGCGAGAACATGTTTAATTTAAAAGAACATTAAAACAATAATTACTGGAGTGTACAAGCTGAATAGATCTGAATTGGTCTGATAACGTTTTATTTAATCAGATTTACACAGTTAATCTTGAACGAGCCTATTGTTGAGGATCCGGTTGTCTTGTTTGAATAAACTTAATTGGAGTTGTCAATAGACGAAACCAACCAGGGGTGTTTGTGTGTGTGTGTGTGTGTGTGTGTGTGTGTGTGAGACCTTGTCGATTTCTTTCTGTTCGCAGGGGAAAGAGAAGGTGAAGCCCAGAGGAAGAGTTTGTCCCTTCAGATCCTGAGAGACGAGGAAATCACTGAGACAGGCCGCGATATGGTCGAACAGCTGGACGGTGAAAAAGACAGAACTGTGAACATCTCAAAAGAGAATAAACAGATAGTGGGGATATCCTGATGATTTAAAATACTTTGTTGTCACCTGTTCTCCAGTTCCCAGCATCATATCCTGCGGGATGGCACAGATCTGACTGTCCATCTTCAGCACTTTCTGCTGCTCCTCCACCACACGAACATGAAGCACCCGGAAGTTTGTTCCACCGAGATCCAACGCCAGGAAGTCGCCTTTCTCTGCCGGGAGGGACAATGAATGGGTTGATCAAGGGTGAAAAAATATGTTCTTTTATCTGCATTTACTCATTTAAATACGTTAAAATCAATCAAGCAAAGGATAAATCATGATAAAACTGGTTACTGAGGTGATTTAAAAAGAGAAATACTCATTTCAGATGAATAATGTTTTTGTGTTTTTACCACAAACACCTTTTGTCTTTGTTTGGTGTTCAGTGCAGGTGGAGAATGTCACTGCACATAAAAATATGGACCCAAGAAACAGAGTAGGCTAGACTGTTTTTTTGCAGCCCTGAGTTGTGTCTGCAGGTATTCTTTCAGACTGCACAGAGCCCCAACAACCTTCCCCTATAAGGTATGTGCCGTCTGTGTGTAGCCTGAGGTGAAACCCAGGGCAAAAATTACAAACGTCTTCACAAAAGGCTGAAGATGTTAAATCTGCCCAGTAACACCTGAACATTTCATGCTTTTGTGGGCAGAAAAGAAAATGACCAGACTCTCTTCCTATTGGCTCGCAGACCTCAAAGTCCCCACATGTGAGGGTCTACAGTTGGACCCTCTTGATATAAACAACCATCACTTAGCTTGATTTATATTAAAGACACATGTTTGTATCATAAGTTTTCTTCAAACTACAAAAAAGAGGCGTCTCTGGAGAGTTTTGAATCCTCAAACAATGCATGCTTGGAAGTTGCTCATCATGTTGTTTGAACTCTCAGCAGTTCATTCATTCAACTCATTTATTTTAAATGAGAGGAAAAACTAGAAAATTTAAGTTAACTTGATTAATAAAACGTATACAGTACATGTACAAGGGATGAGCGAGTACACTATTGTTTGTTTTGGTATCTGTTCAACCAATTCCATTATCTGTATCTGTAAATTATCTGTATTCATATCCGTACTCGGAAAGGGCTTAAAACAGGGTGGGAATAACCTGAAGTTGATAACTTATTAGAAAATATTTAGAGAATTGAGCTCAGAACAATATTTATGATCACAAGAGTAAAATAAGTATTTACAGAATAATTATTATTTTTATAAAAGTTGCTATATTTACGAGTACAGATATTGATATTGATATACACTTTATCTGTACCGGATACTCCTTACAGCCAAGTACTTGCTCAACTATAATAATGATAGATGAAGGTGAGTTGATTCCACTAACGTCCGGTCTGAGCTTTTATAGTGCGGTTGTCCATCTGTCTAACTAAATACAAACAGCCTCACCCGTCCCATCCGGTGTGGCCCTGACGAAGGTGGGCAGCATCTTGACAGGCGCCTTGTGATGACTGTGTTTCCCCAAACCTCGAGAGAAATCCCTCTTCAGCCGAGCAGAAACTTCCTGCAGCTTCTCCAGAGACAGACAGAAAGGCTCCAGGTACTCCTGCACCTGCAGAGAGAGACAGATATAGATAAAAGATAAGATATATGTGTAATGTATACAGTTAACAACTGACGTGAATGTGTTTGCGCAAACTGGACCAACAACCAGTTTATGTTTTATTCACCTTTGCTATTTTCCTCCCTTTTTTTCTGTATTGTTTGGCAACACATTTATGCTTCATGATGCCAATAAAACACTCCAAACTTAAACAACATTAAACATGTAGTAGAGAGAGAGAGAGAGAGAGAGAGAGAGAGAGAGAGAGAGAGAGAGAGAGAGAGAGAGAGAGAGAGAGAGAGATTGGAGCTGCCTTAATATTTTGAATTCTTTTTTGGTTAATTTTGTTTAGTGTATAAACATTTCACAGTATTTACATGTATACATATGTACCTATATACTATGCAGCACATTTACATACATACTGAGTTAATATTTGTAATGGAGATTGTCCACTTAAAGCAGACATAACTTGTTCCATGTTCAATAAAGTTTTTCATACTGCACACAAGAAAGTACTTTTAAAATAAAATCAGACCATTAAAAATGATACAGAAAGTCTATGGGAGACAATAGATTTCACATAATTTAACCACAAGATGGCAGCGTTTCCTCAACATCTGCACAATGAAACCACAGACAGCCACAAAACAGTGTCTGAGATGGAATAAAAAAGCTGTTTTATTCCACTGTTGGAGTCAGGGATAAGTTTGGTTTCAGAGAAGATACTAATCAATGGGGAAACACACTTCCACATAACACCAACCCAGTTACTATCATTATCCTAATTATTTAGCTATGTGGTACTTCAAGTCTGAACCGCTGGAGGATGTTATAACGCAGATCATGGTATTCTAGGAACTCATGAGTGTTTATTAGTACAAAATATAAATCAACCAATACATTATGATGTAATTGTATTTTGATTTAGCAACACAGCAGTATATAAAGTAATCAAAATCAGCCCCACCATTACCAGCTGCGTTATTAAAGTTATCAACACATTAATGCGCCAATAATTATAATCCAATTACATAATATGTATGAGTTTGCATTTTGAGTACTTGAAGTATGCTTTGATGCTATTACCTTTGTACTTTTACTTATGTAAGATTTTGAATTGAGGTCATATTGATACTCTTACTTAGAACTACTACACAGAGTTTTTAACTGGTAATGAAACTCAATTTAATACTGAGGCCTCTCTACATGAGCAAACAAACAAGACCATGCCACGGGTCAGATTTGGTAATTTTCCCCCCTGAAATCAATAAATTGATGCAGTAGAAACACTACCGCTTTTGTCCACAGGGACCGCTAGAATCAACACAGAATGAAAGTTTTCTTTTGTCTTTCAGTAAAAGATCTGAGTACTTCTTTCATCACTGTTTAATACTCACAGAAGAACAAAAATTCACCTTGCACAGTGTCTTTGCCTCCCATTCAACTCTCTGACCCTTGGGAGGCTTTTGTCCTTCTCCTGCTGAATGTCTGTGTCTATTACAGACCATATCCTGTAATTTTATGATGGTTAAAATAGGGCTTTAAAGTAAAGCATTTAGGCATTTCCTCCTACTGTACGTTAGCCAAGTCCTTCAACCCTCCTCTGACATTGCCTAGTTGACTTTATATTAGTCTGGAAATTAAAGAGTTTAACTCACAACAAATATGACATGCAATAAAAGAAAATAAATGTATGTGTCCTAAACCTCGAGTGTTTACGCTCCTGTTTCTGTTAAATTAAATGTTTCAGAGACATAGTCTGCAGGAAAGGCCTGGCTGGTACAACATGATTATGATTCTCTGGAGATGACAGCAACAATTCACATTTCTCTTCCTGTTTCCCGCTTCCTTCAAGGCTGGAAAAAAACTGCACAGCTTTTAAAAGCTGCACTGGGCTCGAGCCCTAATGTACCAATGTGTATCTATATTTCTACATTAACATGTAATACTCAGGTATAAAACTGCAGTGGAAACGGCTTATTTTTTCCATTTTTTGCATGCCCAAGCTGTCTGATTACAAAAGAAATGGAGGTTCAGGGAGTTTTTTAACCTTTGGTTTGACTGATGTGCTCAGGAAGAGGTGTTTTGTGGAAAATAACTAATGACCACCCTCATCAATAACCGGAAATATGAGCTAACTCACACAAACAGAACATTAATGTGAGATCAAAGCAATACAGTTCTTCGTTAAGGTTAAAACTTAGAGTTAAGATCTGTTTTTTGGTTATCGTTGGGTAACATTCTGCAGATGTAAGGGAGGGGGTACGTATAGCCTGAAACCTGAAATGATGTGCAGCTTCCTGTGCTGTTTCTATGAACTGCCTTTGTTGTATTGTCTGTACTGGCACTCCTAAGAAAGTCAACTTCCTTTTTGGATAATACAGTTAAACTTGAGCACACACGTGGCTCAATTACTTAAAAAAAAATGTTTTGGAGAGAAATGCTTTAGCAGTGATTCATGGAAACATTGACCAAAGTCGAAGGAAGAACTTTTATACCAGTAACAAGACCCTCAACACACCCGGAGACAACCGAACCGGACCCGACTGAAAGAACTGAAATCTGACTGAAAGCTATTTGGCTTCCAGCTTCTTGTGGATAAGGGAAGATAAATGTATTACACTGGAATGTCTCATATGGAAGAAAAAAAACAGCCAAATGCTGCAACGGTGCCAAATGAGCTCATATTTAGCGATTAGTACAGTATCATATAACAGCTGACCTCTTTTATGTTTGTAAATAGGCCTATATTATTTAATTTATATGTCAAATGTGACATATGACATTGTTGTGACGCATGGAGGCGAACTATAAAGGGGTGACATGGTTTAAATAAGTTTGGGAACCACTGGTGTACAGCCACGCTAGTGACTGTGTGGCTGTACTTTGGCACAGAGGTGGTTTGGACTAAATTCAAACATCAGCAAGATAACATGCTCAAAATGAGAATTCTAACATGAAGAAAGTAAAATGTTCACCATAAGCATGCTAATATTTGCTAATTCGGTACAGAGGCTGATGGTAATGTCATTCGTTTGGCAGGTATTTTATTTGACCTGATGATGGTCGCTAGATGAAAAGCCAGAGGATCACCAAAGTCTGTATGTTTATCTCATTTTGTGTCTAAAATGAAAAATAATCTTGTTAAGCATGTTTTGCATGAGAAACTTAATCTCCTTTTAGGAAAATATATCTAAATTTGTCTTATTAAGATATTACAGCTAATATTAAGCAAGATTTAACCTTTAGCAAGTTACAACAATGGTTTGCATAATATCCCAGCAGAGGAACAAGATTATTTCCTTTATCTTAAGAGAAAGACAACTTGCACAACTTCTCAATTTAAGAGAAAAAAAAAGTCTTGTCCCAGTGTTGGAAATAAAGTTACATTTACAACTGGCTTATTTTCAGACATCTTTATTAACTTTGTTGCTCACTTGAGTTTTATTTAATTATATCTGTGTCCTCATCAGGCCAAATGACCCTCCTGAATCCAATATAAGCTGTTCCAGACACACCTGGGTGAATTTGTGAAATGTGTCTGGGCATGATGTGTTCATGTGTGTGCTCAGCACTCGGGGCGTTCAGGGACACCCGTGTTTCTGTACATCCAGGAGGTACTAGACTGGATCACAAACAGGACCAGTTTCACCACAGTCTGTCTGTGGGGGGGTGATACGATGGTGAATGTTTGCCTTGGCAGACTGGTATTTTTCTTTTCTCACATTCACACGTGTTCTTTACTATATGAGTCTGAAATACCTCAGACAAGTTTCAACAGTGCTGCTGCTGCTGCTGCCGCTCTCATGGAGGACCTGTGTGCAATAAACGCCAAGCTTTTTGTTAGCACACGGATGTTTATGCAGTTTATGGTTTTATGAGAGTTTATTTAGCATAGAAATTTGTTTGGTCCTTTTTTTAAAAAGATTTCACATGGAACAAACGCAGGCTTCTCATTTTTTATCAGACGACTGTCAATTTAATTGGCTGAAATTATAACTTTCAAGGTCAAATCGAATCACCAGCTTGCAAAATTAACACTAATCCCGAGAGTTTGTAGAAAACTACTTATCCAGCTGACAAAAACCCTGCAAAAGGATCTGATGGCCATAATACTAACTGACTGAGGCTAAAGCTAATGGGTCCAGCATCCTCACATGCCGATACACATAGAAGACATGGAAAATAAAGCATTGTTCTTGTGTTGCAGGGTGTCAGCTAGCAGTCATTTTATTGTCAATTTTAAGATTCAAATATCTTTTAAATACCTCTTATTTGTCATCATTTGGTTTCTGATGATCTTTTTCAGTGTTTTTCACCTACAGTGAAGCACATTGGATTACATGTGTGCATATGAAATGTACTATGTAATAAAGTTTTATTATTATTACTATCATTGCTCAGATGTAACAACCTCATACAGTCTGTATATTTCCCAACAGTCTTCAAGTTAATCCTGGATCACATCTGGAGCCACACCGACATCAAGTCCATACACCATTCCTCTCTTTCTCTTCTTCATTATCTCTCTCATGAATTACAGTAATTTTCCAGAGGCGTGTTTGATCAGGTCTCATCTCACTTGTTCTCTTTCTGTATCCTTAAACTCTTCACCTCCTCCTCCTCCTCCTCCTCCTCCTCCTCCTCCTCTCATAGCCTCATATGATTTCCTTCTCGACTTACTTGTGTCTTGTCTCTACACGCTCATTCCTGCTTTTACGTAAGCAGAGGCGTGGCTGACTTCATTCCTCCATCGTGACTCTGATGGTTTGTACTATTAAAAAAAACTATATTGGCTTTAGCCATAAATCCCTGAGCAAATATACACAGTCAAGAGACACCAGTGGTAGATCACACAGTGTGAAATAATCTGTTACAGGTAATAGTCCTACATTTAAGTTTTTATCTTAGTAAAAGGACAAAAGTATTCTCAACACAATATATTTAATATTACTTTTGCATTAGCCCTTTTCAGAATAATGTACATTATATTATTTGATTATGATTATTGATGCATTAAAGTGTATATTATTTTAATACAGGAGTTGGTAAATGTAGGGCTATAATGTTATTTTATTTATATATATTTAGAGCCATATATATAAATGGCTGGGTAACTTGTAAATGTCCTCAATTAAGTCTTATTTAAATAATAATCTATTTGCCGATTATATTTTTTATTATTGATCTGAATCTGGAAAAATAATAAGTTATCAAATACATTAAGTAGAGTAAAAAGTACAATATTTGCCTCTGAAATGTAGTATAAGTGAGTATAAGTAATACTTTTGTACTTTTACCTGATCAGACTTTTACTTATAATAGAGGGTTTTTTTTGCCTGAGGAAAAGGATCTGACCACTTCTTCCACCACTGCTAGCGTGGCTGTGAAGCTTTAGGTGATAAACACACAATAAACCACAATAATCACAAAAAAAAGCCTGTTTTTTTTTGTGATTGAGAATGGGTTTGTCAGATCAGAGCCTCACCACCCGTATTTCAGAGAAATGAATAAGGTTGTTCTGGTTGTCATCTTGGAAATGCCGCAGCAACACGGCTGACTAAGAGTCCGCAGGAGGTTTTCTTGGAATAAAGAGGAGTGTTGGGTGTGACTTCCACATACTCCTCCCTTAATAATAATATATTTATTTGATTTTGTAATCTGGGAATCATCCCTACTAAAATCACAAGACCTTCACAGCATTAGATTATATTCCTTTATCTTAACCTCCACTTAACCTGTAATATTGTATATCTTATGTATTAGCATTGTTGGAGGGAGCCTGAAAATTAAAGATATAATATGTAACATTTGTGCATTAAAAGGCCTATAAACTAGACTTTTGTTATATATTTTGTTGAGTTGTGTACTTTACATTATCCCAAATGTTCAAACGCAGAGAAATCTGTCATTTTATTCAGGTAACACTGCGTTTCACCGGTTGCCTGTCAATGGCGTCATATCCCCTTTGTGCATGCGGCAGCTGTTTGGCTGTGTTGCAGAAGCTGTCATAAATTGACTTTTTATCCAGTGTTAAGCCTCATTTTTAGGATATGATACACTTTTTTTTAGCTCTTGGTTGTTTTAACTCTATATTTTAACCAGATGAAGCATTTTAGTCACCGGATGACTGGATCTTAAGATATCAGAGAAACAAGCTGAACTAACGTTAGCAGCAGCAGCAGCCAGACAGCGTCGGAAAACGCTGATTTCTTAAGTTGAAACTGTTTTATTCAGTGTATTTACCAGTTTGTTTGGGGAGGAGGAGACTAATTCTGCTTCTGGTAAAAACCTTTGTCTTTTGTTATTGTTCTGACATGAGAGACCCCCTAGTGGCAGAAATTACATATTGTACGTTCAAGAATTTCATTACCAGTGTCTGCTTTGTAATTGTTGTGCATATGACAATCAAGACCTTGAAACTTATAAATGTTGCTGAAATGTTTGACGCCATCCTACATGACGATGCTAGATTAGCTGCCAGCCACAGTGATCAAACATTTGCTTATCTGGAAGTTGCTAAGATGGAGACATGTTGTACTGAATGTAAAACCTTGATCTTCAAAGTAGCTGTAACAACTAATATCATACGTTTCCCAATTTAAAAAACTCTGCTGCTCAAGTATTGGAGCAGAATTAGTGATTTTTTAATGACTTTCTTTAGAGTTGTCTTCACAATGTTACCGTTAAAACCTTAAATGTTCGGCTTTTTTGAATAAAATGGGTCTTTTTTTTTCTCATTGTCTCTTATTACACCTGCACAAGCTGTCTTTAAAAAGTGTGTGTGGAGTTTGATTTAATACTGGCAGAATTTAAAAAAAAAACAACAAACAACAAACGTGTTTCCACCTCAGGCGCGACGTACCTTACGGAGGGTGTCCGGGAGGGATGCCGTCCACGTGCTGGGTCAAAGTGTCTCCGCTCATTTTGGCCTTCTTGGAGATCTCCGTGCTGTCGCCGTTCGCTGCAGCGCCGCTCATCTAGACACCCAAATACACAAAAACATATGGTCAAATCCTCAGTAGCATAACACCGTGCAGAGTCTCAGATCTCCACTGCTGAGACTTCTGCCAACAACCCAAATACAAGTAATCTACACGGACACGCTAGTGCACATGTGGGGCTGTACTTACTACACAGCAGTGAGTTGAGCTAAATGCTAATCTCAGCATGCCAACATGTTGATGCTCAGCAGGTTTACCATGTTCGCCATTCTAGGTTGTGTGTTTGCGTGCTAACGTTTGATAATTTGCGTGGAGGTAGCAAAAAAGCGTGTTGCTATGTAGCGCTAAACACACTCTGGCTGGCTAATACGAAACTAAATTTCAATTCTTAAAACTATTAAACTAGTAACACAAGTTTTTTGTCCAGTTGGAAAAAGTTTATATAAATCCATTAACACGTCCCAATCCTGATGTCCATCTATCATCAAACTGAACACCGTACGTTGCTTAGCTTGTAGCTTTCGTGGTGAGCAGCTTATGTTGGGCGTTTAATAAATAAAGTTTAAAAAGTGAAACATATTTGGGGTTTTCTGTTGATGATTGAAGATAAACTGGTATCTCTAATTTATAAAGTGTATTTATTGTTAGCGTTCAACAGTCTTACCCAGCATTCACGGAAAAATTACGAGAAGGTGGGAACAATTTTTTGGAAAGTTGGCGGAAATGTTGATACAGGAAATGTTGCGTTGATGGTAATATATTTTTTATTAATTCATATAAGCTATATTATAGTGGTTTTAGGCCAAATGCTAGTGCAACAACAATATTGGGAGAAAATCACAGCTTCAAACTGTTTCGACATATTCGGATAACAACATGAATCTTCATTGTTTTAACGTTATGAGAAATAAAATACTATAGCTGATTTGAAGTTTGAAGCTCAGCTAGGATCGTTGCCCTTCGTAAAACTTTATATAAGTTGTCTGTGATTTATTTATGGCTGCTGATAAACACTTAAATATAATACTTAATAACTAAACTTGTTGGTTGAGTTGGTTTTCCTATTTTTGGAAAGAAACAAGTATTATCTATTTTACAAGCTTAAAAAAACCAGCATATTTCAGGACTTTCTGGAACAATCCACAAATAAAATAAAACATATCCTGAAAAAATGAAATAAATAATTAAAAAACACTATATTACAACTTGCTCCTATTAAAAAAGCTAACATCTCTTGTGTTTGATCTTGTCCAACTTACCAACCGCACTCACTTTTCTTCCTTAAAATGTCAGTAAGATACGCAGGGTGATGAATTAAACACGCACTACACGTAGTAATAATACTTTAAATAAACCTATAAAACAGTGTAACGATGTGATATTCACAGTAATAAAGAGATCAAGTTCCTGAGGAAGTACAGTCTTGATGACCGTGGTATAAAATGATTCTCACATATTTGCTTTGCTTCACCGGCTGTGTTTGGACTCACCCAGAGCAAATATCTAAGAGGGGCACGAGGTTTATAGCAGGGGGGCATCAAATGACTGCAAGTGGCAGCAGGGTTGTGCATTGTGAAAGTGAAACTAAACAGTGGTATGCTTCACAGGAGAAAATCTCGAGAAAAAAAAAATCACATAAATTGAGTATTTTCATCACTTTTCTAATAATCTAATAAAAAAAAGGATAGAAAAATCAGTTAGGTTTAAATGAATTGAGGAAAACACATTTTATATTGACTGAATCTGCTTTCTGGGAGTTGCTCCAGTCCGTCTTCTGGTACCACGCCGCAAGAAAACATCTCTTCTTACTCTCAAACAGGCACATGGGGGGAGGTGAGGAGGTTCAAGTTGCAGATTAAAACTAACTGAACACCGCTCGTGTCCTTATTTGACGACCTCAGAATGGGAACGGGCTGTGAGGTGTGTAAGAGAAACTACGGTGGCCACGAAACTTTAAAAAAAAAAATGCTAAAGGCCCCATTTAGAGCCAGTGTTTTCTATTGTTCTTTAACAGACTAATGAACATTATGTCATGTAATGTTGGTAACGTTAACACTTTGGATTAAAATACTTTAAGAAACATTGAACATTTGGTACAGATGTTCATTTCCACCAGAGGATGAATCCTAATTGGTCACCCTCTGAGTTTTGTGCCACCAGCAGGTGAAAGGTTATATTATCTAGTGAGATAACTTGTTCAGGTTTAGATTTCAGTAGCAAATAAATAAATGACCTTTTTTTGTCCACATCGTGTGACTTTACAGTATTAAATGCTGATTTAAAGTTTGCAGACAGTAAGGTCTAGTGACACAAATAAAGGGGAACAAGCATTTATTTCACTTCCACATGTTGTCCACCTTCAAATTGCTCCAAAGAGACAATGACACAAACATAGCTTCCAAAGTAAACATTACTTGTTAGTTAGAACATCCTGGTGTGCCCACAAACAAACACACCAGCGAGGCGTGAAGAGAAAGGAGCTGTAACCAGAGCACGTCATCATGTGAGTCTTTCTATCTTTTAAAGGAAGCTTCTATCTTGGGAACCGCTCTGTCAGAGAATCTCGATCTTAGAAAAAGTTCCTTAATACTGACATCAGGAGTTGCAGTTTGAGTGTGCACATGATTACTGACCACAGCTGCTTCCACCTTCGGCCACTGACCTTCTGAACTTGACCCTAATCAACATAGGATTTGTAAAATGAAGTGTCTGAAGTCATGAGCTAAACTTATTAAATAAGTAAAAATCTAAATTAATTCAGTGGGTTTTGAAGATTTGAGTTTTCCCCCCTGAAGCTGAATTAATTAATCTGAAATTGCATCATTAAAATTATAGGAATTTTAAACCAGCAACTGTTCAGCTAGCACATGAAGATGTTGGTTAACTGGCTTTTGTCAGTTTTGTCGAGAATATTGATCATCTAACATGTCATTGTGATTCATTAATTTGATTCAAATTAGTTAAGTTCAAGGGTTGAGGGCTCATTTTTTTTTTTAAACAATCCCAATTATTTCTGCCTGCACAACCATTAGGTGCTCATGTTAGATAATATATCTAAATATTGTCCTATAGAAAACATCTTCTGACCTCTGCCTTTACCTCTAAAGCTGCACTAATTCATATTGTTACATTAACAATGAAGCAAATGTTTAATGGTAATGTTTAAGGTGATGATCGTCACCGAGGTCAACTCAGCTTTCACAAGTGTTTTAGCCTTTTTCAGCCTGTTGTTTTTTGTTTTTTTTTTCAGTTTCCACCTACAGCAGGTAAACAAGCTCGGACATACACACTGTACACAACCTGCTCAGCAGCAAACAACAAACAGACACAGTTAGAGACTAGCTGGTGAACTTTGCGGATCATTTAGCAGCTAAAGAGCCAGTTAATATAATATATCATATCAATAATTTAAGCTTATAACTTAATGTTTTTGAATCAGGAGCTTCAGTATTTAGATTATGTAGCTCATGAAAAATAGGGCATGTAAGATTGAATTGCTACAGCTGTTATTTCAACGTGTCAGATAAATATTTAATCAACATTTAAGCGTTATGTATTTATAATAAGTCTAAGGGTAAATGTATCCCTAATGCTTAAAGGTCTAAACTAATCCTCGAGTTTGATTTATTAAAGTATTCAAGGTTATTTCATTGTCATTTACAACGTAGGGTTGTATACCAACATTATAGAAGGAAACTTTCTGCTCCACTACATAGTAGTTTCTTTACAGATTAAGATTTGACACACAACATATCATATTTATAAAACATGATGCATCAATATACTAATAAACTACTCAACAGTGTGCAAATAATGTATGAAATATTTAGAATGAGTTCAACCCTGACTAACTACAACATTAAATAACAGCTTAAAAACATCAGTGATAATAATGATCCAATAATGTACACACTGAGCACTTTAACTTTGGCTATGTGGCCACTTTCATATGTGGTTGGAAAGACACAGTCATCACAAAATCAGATCCGAGTCACATAGGAGTAAAAATAGATAAATAAATCAGATTTGGGCCACTTGTGTGAATGTAGCCTTAGTTGCTAATACTTCTATTCTTAAGTAAAATGAGTTAAGTTATAACTGCTTACTTTTTCCAGCACAGCTCAGCTCACTGAAACACTTAAAATCCCCTGAAGAAACACAGAGATTGTGACATCCGTGACCTCAGGGGGAAGCTCCAGTTGATGACAACAGTCCAGATTATGTTTTTTTTTTTTTTGTATTTTTGGGTGGAGCTGCTCTTTAAGATCACATTACAGGACCTGCGGCTCTTTAACTCCGCCTGTTGAAGATGAATCCAGCCAATAAAGGCCTGCACTCATCCCTACACACTCAGGTGTCTGTCACGTCAGAGAATGTCACCAACCCGGGTTGGCATGAATGGAAACCTTTAACACTCACCTTTTCTTCCACCTGGTTGCCTTTATGTAGATTTGAGCCACGTCAGAGTCACACCTGAGCAGGGGAAAAAATTTAAAGCATTTTTATCTCTCTTTTGTTCAGATCTCACTGATTTCACATCTGACAGCTTTAAAATGAATCCAAAATCTAATCTGTAAGTAAAGATAAAGCCTGACTTTCCACTGTGCCCCTACAGGAGCAACAGCAAACAACTGACCCCACTGGTAGTGGGTTTAAAAGAGTATTTCAGGTCCCTGAAGGCGAAAGAAAACACACCAGACCAGTCGGTTCATGAGCTGACAAAAGAGCCAACTTTCGTGCTAAAGTCACAACAAGACAAATACAGCTTAAGGTTTCAGATCTGGGGTTCAGGCCCCTCTCTGGGGGGGAGTGAAGGAGCTCATGTGCTCTTTTTTGACACTCAATAGAGTCAAAGAGGATGAGAACTTGAACTTAATCATCTCATACAAGACAGAAAATAATCAAACATCCAGTTCTATGAGCTTTTTTGGCTTCATCTTCATGGAAAAATGTAGGAGCCACTTCCTCAACCGGATCAAACAGCTGACTGCCTCTCTCTAAACAGCTCATCTACCCTGTAAAAGCAGGTTGTCTTTGCAGTGAAGTAAAGTCACTCACCTTTGCGTCCTGCGCTGCGCCTCTCAGACTGACAGGAGTTCAACTTCCTCAATGAAGAATGAACGTGTGAGAGAGCCGAACTCGGTTGCTTACACCCCCTGCATCTGAAGACGGATGAATGTCGCAACACGCGGAGACGCGCTGTGTTGTTTGTTTTCGGGGGCGACGGACGTGGAGGCTGTCGGGTGCGGTTAGCCACTTTAACGCGCGGCGGCACGAATGGTTACAGCTGATTTCACGGAACAAACCAATACTAAACATAGCCGAGGTTCGCCGAGGGGACACCGAACTGTGGCCATGATCAAGTCCAAAGGAAGCTGGAGGAGAGCTCGTTGGGGTTGCAGCGGCAGGTGTCTCTCTGTGCGTAAAGGCGCATGAGGAGCGCACAGTCAGGCTCATGTTCTGGGATCAGTTCACCCCAAAATATAATTAATACTGGTTTAAAATTAATTAAAAGTGGCGAGTTACCGACTTTCTTTTAAAGACTACAGTATATGATAGTGCTGGAAAGTACATTTACTCAAGTAATGTACTTAAGTACACGTTTGAGGTACTTTACTTACTTCTTTAGAAATTAAGATTTTCACACATAAAACAGTTAATAAAATATGATGTTCTGTTATAAATTAAAGTGCCCAATGGCATGTAAAAGTACAGCTGAAACTATTAGTTGATTAACTGATTGGATGATTGACAAAAAGAAAATTGGCAACTAATCATTTAAATACTTTATCATGAAAACAAACATTTCAAGGTTCCAGCTTCCCAAATGTGAGGATTTACTGCTTTTTCTTTTAATAATTTTAATTAAATTCTAAACATTGAGGTTTGTACTATTGGTCGGACAAAACAAACATTGAGATGTCACTTTGGGCTCATTGTGAACAATATTTTTTAGAATTTTTACAAACCAAACAACAATTCATTAATGAAAATAATCATTAATTGCAGTCTTACACAAAATGGTTCAAAAAGAGCTCCACCTGAACCAACTACAGCAGTAAAAACCTGCTTTTACATGAATACATGAGTAATAATAATATAATATATAATAGTCACAGGGGACATTTTACTGCAGGGTACCTTTTTCTTCATTGTTCTACATACTTTTAGTAACATTTTTAATGCACTTTTACTGTGGGTGTCCACATACTTTTGGTCATACATACAGTTTGTACTTTATAGCTTTCAGGACGATCATCCTTCTATTGAACTAGGTTGGTGCAACTGAACATTGTGACAGACTCTTACAAAACAACAGTCTGCATGTTGCGGCACTGCTTCAAAGTTTCACAGGAAATACAAACCTCAAGCAGGCCGCTTAAAAGTGAAATTTAACGACGGCAGGACAAACTGTATCTTTCCTTTTCTGAGACACTGTGAGAAAAAAGATGTTCTCAAGGACAAAATAAGATAAGTAGAAGTATCAAAAAAGTATAAATATATATAAAATATCACCTGCATCTCTTCCGTCAATAAAAAAACGTGTGTCCAGTGCTTTACAGTGACTTTACTTCTGTTTTGTGACATCAATTAGCCTATGTACCTCTAAAGTGCTGATACAGTACTCAAGGCCAATACTCTGAGCATACATTGAAGGAACAGAAGAAAGAAAATGGGGAAATCAGGACAAGTATATTGTGTCTGTGTCAACTTTACAGGAAATATTTCGGATGATAAAAATGGTCCACAGTGCAGAGAAAGCATGGAAACACAACCTGTTCTGAACAGAGACAAAATGACTTTACAGGAGAGATTTGAGCAGAAAATGTGACACACAGAAACACGTTGATGTTACGTTCAATTACAGTTGGACAAAACTTGTGATGCTGCTGTGAAAGACCCTCAACCAGGTGGTTTATGATGTTAAAAGGGGAAATTCAGAGTTTTCAAGGCTTTTAAATGCATCACACTCCCTCCCACGTACGGTCTTAAGACGGTACAGAGGGGATCTTACAGTTCTGACATTTATGTGCTAACAAATTATAACATTTGACAGGAAACAAGACAAAGGATGAAAACTCGGTCGGAGGCTCTGATTGTGTTAAACGTTGAAATTTGACTTTTTATTTTTATTCTGTGTGATCCAATTAGAGACGTGCACTGAACGGAGGACAGACCTCTAATAGTGAGCTATTTAATTTCTGTTTTAGCTCCTTTCTCAAAGAAATGCTGCTGATTTTATTAATCTGGGAACTCAATTTGATTTGATATTTTTCCTCATTTATAAGAGCTCGCTCGCAGCACTTCATCATAGACCACAAACTAAAAGCTGTCGGAGAGATGGACGGTGGAGGAACAACATAAACCTTTCCTATCTTAGCTCCAAAAAATGTTGTTTGTCCTGATGGTGCGCCAGAGGGAAGGCCATGTTTTAACCTAAATCACAAGGGTTTATTCTCAATACAGTGGCCATTTGAGGACATTTCTGACTCTCTTAGCCTGTTGACACTAATGCTGGTATCTGAGCATCCTAACATGGCTACAGTTCAAATTAATATCGAACATTTAGCCAGGATGATAATCTGACTGAACTGCCATTTTCTGTTCACTCAAGGCGATGTCATTTAATATTTATTTCTGTACATTGACTCATCCATCTCATCCACGTAGAGCTGAAGCAGTTAATCAACTAATCAACTGACAAATTAGTTGTATTTTGAAAGTGTCTCATTTTTTTAAGCAGAAATTAAGACACTTTCACAGGCTCCGGCTTCTTAAATGTAACAATAATCTGCTCTTTTTTCTGTCGTATGTGATTGTTCAAATGAATATCTTTGGACTTTTGGATGAAGAAAAGGATTTGAAGAAGTCATTTAGGGCTCTAGAACATTTTACAATTTAAAGATAAATTGATAAATCAAGACAATAATCAGCAGATGAATCAATAATGAACATAACCGTTAGTTGCAGCCCTACATCCACAATTGTTGCCATGTTTGTCTGCATTTGTTCAGCTCTGTCACAAGAAGATGACGTCACAGTTTCTTAAATCGGCTCTGATTGGCTCGGTTGTTTTTCAATCAGTGAACAAAATACTAGACCAGGGTCACATCTGGCGATTTGCATTAGCGAAACATTGCATTTGAACATGTGTACAGTTAGGCATGGTGACTTTTTCAATTGTATGTTTGTACAGAATTTTAGTGTATGATGTGTAAAATTTAAAATTTGCACATTTAACACTTTAGTACATGCTAACATTAGTATGCCTCGTGTTAGCATCTACTCACCGTTAACAAGACATGTTGTGTGTTATAATCTTATAATCCCAAAATACAGATGAGACTTCAGTAATTAGCTTTAGCGGTTTAAGTGTTTTCACCTCATCGTGGCACAAGAGGAAAATCAAGAGTTCAAGGCAATCCCTCCAATAGTTGCTGAAATATTTCAGACCCAAGACTTCACTTCAAGCTGAGGCCAGTAAAATTGTGTTTGCATGAATCTGACGTACACTCTGAGACATGATGCTAATCAAAATGTTAAACCAAAGCTATAGTAACAAAAAGGAAATGTTTCAATACACGAAGAGGTAGTCTGAAACACCTTCAGCGTTAACAAATGTAAATACAGAAAACATTTAGTGGCACAGAAAGAGTTTTTTATGAATACATGTGAGATTCTGAACATTCAAGTGTTCGATTTGTATTCATTTACCTGCATAAATATCCAAAATGTTTACATCAGGACGTCACGTCGAACCCGATGAGGCTTTAGGTCTTTAGTTAAGGCTCTGGTTTCCAGTATTTCCTGTCAGGACCACAAGTCTTTTACGAGGTCACCCTCATCTTCGTCTCTGACTCAGCTTCTTGGTTCGCTGCTGTTTTTTGAAGTCAATAAGGCAGCCGGTGGCCTCTGAGATCGGAGTGAAGGATCGGATGGGAGAGTTACTAATCCGGATGGCTGAAACGCCACCTTCCTCCTCGTCCTCCTCATCGTCATCCCGCAGATCAATGACATCTCTAACACAAGGACACAAATCCAGGCCCGTTAAAACAGAAAACACTTGTCCGAACTGGTAAAGAATAATCCTTCACCTTACTTGTTCCCCCATTTGTGTTGAATGATCTCATGCGATTATTATGTGTAAGGCTGCAGCTATTTTAGGCTATTTTATATTCAATTATAAGCTACCTTTATTAATACTTTTAATCAATATAGTGATAAATAAAAGGCCTTTTCAGACTTGGAACATAAAACACTGTTAAAAGGACCAGTGTGTAGGATTTAGGAACATTTAACAATGAAGTTGCAGCTCAGTCTTTCAAGCATTTAAGGAAAAACTGGTCGCCAACTACTGTTGAGACATTGCAGACTCCATGGAAGAGGACCCGCTCCCTCTGTAGATAAAAACCAAGCGACAACCTCCGTAGCTGGCAAAAACTGTAGTTCCTCGAATGGCCACTTGAGGCTACAGAAGTGAGTCAATCTCCATAAGGCTCCATATTAAAATGTACAACTTTACAGCATAAATAAACATGTTATAAAAATCAGTTTTGTGTATTTCTATTGTAAATCTTGAAGTCAGTGAAGACTTAAAGCCTGAAGGAATTTATGTTTTCATGGTTTTTTTTAACATTTATAGGCTTTGTAACCACATGAAAGCTGTAAAATGACAGTTGGCTATCAGCACAAACATTTCTGTCATCAGTACACTGACAGAGATTTGATTTCCTCTGGTTCAACAAGGTGTTAAAACTTTCATTGTGAGGGACTCCGGATCAAAATGTCCACAAAGATAAACAAAAGTTGTAACTAAGTGTTTCTAAGTCGTCTTACCCTGGCTGGAGGCTGGATCCAGACGGCCCGGCCTCTGTGAACACAGAACATGTCAGAAAAATGTGAATCAACTGGAGTCTGACTGACGAGAGGTTTGAGACCTGATTCTACTGCTGATATGTTTGTTCTGAGGCTGCAAAAGCGAGTCTGGGTGTTGATCATGATCTGAGGTGAAAATCTCACCTGTAAACCAGAAAATCCAGATCAGAGCATTAATTAACTGAGGGGCAAATAAGGGGCTCAATTGCCCCGATTATTTTTAAAAGTGAGTCCAACCTTATGAAAGTCTAAAATTTAGCTTCAGCTATCATTATTTCCATTATCAAATAATCAAACAATGATTTTCTTAATTAATCTATTAATCATTTTGTTTATACAATGACAGAAAACGTTTAAAAAAAAAAAGGCTGTTATACACCGAGTTGACATCTTTTGTCCCACTAACCATCCAAAACATAAAGATATAAACTTTTTGTCTACACCGGCCACACAGTGAAAGCAACAGCAGTCCTTCATCAGTGTCCACACTCATAGTGTAGAATTGTACTTTGGGTCTCTTTGTTTTAACCCCGCTAACAGCTTGGGTCTAAGGATGGCAGTGTTTGTCGATCGGTGCACGAGTCTGTTCCAGACTAAAATATCTCAGCGTCTATAGACCTTTTTCACAGCAGCCATTTTGACATGAAACACAGTGTTGTGTTACCAATAACACTAATTAAGATTCTGTTCCATTCAAGTCAAACAGGGGGCTGCTATTGTGCATGTTGCCTCAGTGGAAAGGCAGTGACTGGAACAAAACCTCAGTTAGTATCATTGCTAACACCTGTGTTTACCCTACTATTTCACTTCAAAATGGATGCTGTGAAAAAGGTCCATTGGATGGATTGTTGCCCAGATGATGCGGTCTGACTTTTCCTCTAGTGCCATCATGAGGTTAAAATTTAAATCTGTGAAATATTTTGATGACGGCAAAACTACTGGCTACACATTGTGTTTTCTTTGCAAAGCATGTTATAATTATCAATATAAACATGTTAGCACAGCCTCACCGAGTCACCGTAGTCTTGTTACATGGGAAAGACTTTCAGACTCACCTGAATGTCTGCTGTCCGTTTGCTCCAGAGCTGATAGCAGGTTTCCCTTCTGGAAGATCAGAAATGTAAAGTTATTCTGTATCCTCAATAAAAAGAGATCACATAAAAAAAAAGCAAGAAAATGACTGTGAAAAGGGTTTAGTTTTATGTTTCTGCAGAGTAATTTTGTGCTTTGGTTGAACAATAACTTCTTTTTAACTTACACATTTTGAACCTTACCATTGTATTGTGTGAGGGGGTGTTACTGTAATTGGTGTAAAGAGGCTTACCGCTGCAGTCTTTGATGACTGTTGTTGGATGCAGAGCTCTGTGTGTCTGCTGTAGTCTCTCAGAGGAACGGCTTTCTGACAGATAAAACATTTCTCTGGGTTCCTGTGGAAAACAAGACAGACACCAGGTGTAAAAAAAAAAAAAAACAACAAATTGGTCTGAAAATGCTGAGCTGTTCCTGTTGAATACTTAGTGCTACCTACTTACATGCTAGTATTGGAGGAGTCGTTAGTCTCTTCCGCTGTCACCTCTGCTCTTCTTGTTCTCTTCCTACGAGGCTTCAGTGATACTATAAAGTGGAAGAAGATGTCATTTTAAAGTATCAACACAACAACACTGACATTTTTTTTAAACTGATGTTAACAGTTGGACGTCATAGACACAGACGACAGGTATTCAAAAGCACATTTCTTTTCACCATGACTCTCAACAAAGATCAGAGAAACAGTTGAATGGTAAAAGGCAGACGAGACGGAAAACAAAGATTTAGTAGAACAAAAAAGAAAGAATCGTGGAAACCTGATTGATGATTATTGTTGTCGTGTTGTTATTGCTGTTTGTTCTGGATATCTTGTAATACTTTACAATAAAGACAAGGAAAAAAATCACAAAAACCTTCCTCCTTGAACGACCAATGTTAAAACCCAACCTACAGATTTTACAGCTGTGAAAGTGTATAACACACTTTAAAATATAGTTTCTGGCACCTTGGAAGCAGTCGGCTTTTGGCCTCCTCTCATCCACGACAGCCACCTCTCCATCGCAGTACGCAGCGTGCATCTCGATCTCCGTCACGGGGAAGGATCCCTGACAGATGGGACAGTCCACGTTGGTTTCAGAGCTCTGAGAGGCGGCAGCTTGTTCCAGTTCAGGAGACGTCGACCTTTGAAGCCTTTGCTCCTTTATCTCCTCCACATCTGGATCCCCCACGTCCTCTTCTACCTCCTCTTTCCTCATAGTTGGTCCTCCACCATCGCTGCTGACAACAGGGATGTTTCCCTTCGTCTTTCTGTCCACTGGGGCTGAAAACAGTCACATACACTCATTTTTAAGGTTATTTTCTGATGACATGCACATTAATTTGGGCCACACACAGATACAGAGGAGTACCTATGGAAACAGTGATGCTGAGAATGAAAAGCGTTTAAAGTTTTCAGGCTTAATGCCTTCAGTTTATGCCCTTTAAAGCTGATTATCAAACACTACTGCACAGAACTTACGTAACACTTATAATGCTGACTCTGTCTTTATATTATTAATATGGTAAGACAGATGAGAGAGTTAGCAATTTTGACCAAATATGTTCGTAGTTCCTGTGTTTTGCCTTTGTAGCGCAGGTTTGTAGGGGAGATCTATTTCCAGTATCAGCTTTCAACTTTCACCCACCACACAACCAGGCTGGTATCAGCACAGATGCAAAGCACAGATGCAAAGTTTTCTGTTCTATCAGTTAACTGGCAGCCTCACCGTCCACCTCCACCTCCACCTCCACTTCCATCTCCTCCTCCTCTTCCTCCTCCTCCTGCTTCTGCCGCTGCCGCTCGTCCCAAGCTGGAGAATCGTCCTGAAGAATCATCTCAACCTCAGGCAGCCCCGGGCTTTTAGGTTGGAGCTGTGGAGAAATCCAAGGAAGGTGTGATATTTATTATAGATTTATTTTTATATGATTCTCTTTGCTGTTCCAGTGTTCCTGTCAGGGATCAATGAAGTTCATCTTATCAGGGGATGTGCGACGTGAAATCATGGCCACCTGCCAGGTAAACGCTGGTGTTTTATCAGGGTGAAGCAGGAAAAACAAATCAGGCTGCTGATTACAATGTAAACAAACGTCTGAATGAAGAAAATCTTAACATCTCATTTATGTTTTTGTTAGACTGCTGTGTTTGCTACCTTATCTCCACTGTCACTGTCAAATATTTGGTAACCACTGATCTAATGCAACCAAAAAAAAAAGATGCAGGAACACTATAAAGTATAAATTTAGTATGGACACAATAAAATACATGGTAACTATGGAAACTATATGGTGCTAATAAGAAAAAGTAGGACTGTGTATTGGCAAGAATCTGGTGATAAAAGTCACAGACACTATAAAGTACATGCTAAGTATCAACACTGTAAACACTACAATCCAATTACAAACTAATCCCCAGTTGATTCTTTACAGTATTGTAAAGTGTGATACTTTATTTTTGATCAATACTGATCTCATTAGTTTCCTCAGGTTTTACACAACGTTTCAGTCTGTCTGCAGGTTTCATGTTGTTTTAGTAAAGTTCCTAGATACTGTGCTACTTCCACCAGAATTTAATATCCTCTAACCTTCGTGCAGTGGTAATTCAAACTCAGGAATGTCATCATCTACTGGAGGGCTGACTGCAAGTTGAAATTCAACACATGAACTTACCTCTGTTCTAGTGTCAGTGTCTATCATCAGATCTTGCGTCCTGTCGTCATCGTTGTCACTCAGTTGGGTCTCTGTTGTGGGAGAGACATGATGACGGTCAGCAGTTTGTATCAGGTCTAAATGTGATCATATAAAGAGGCCAGTTTCCTCTTCTGGTGAGAGTTTAATACAGCCATCATCTGTTGAACTGTGGTTGATCGCTAAGTTAAACAACTAGGTTCAAGCACCTTAATAACAAACCAATGAAAAAGGTGGAGCTTCAGTACCTGGACAAACGTCACAGTCATCTGTATCCACCTGTACTACTTCTCCGTCATTCTCCTGCTCTTCTCCTTTGTTCTCTCTTTGCTTGCCTTCCTCTTCGTCCCTCTTGTCTTCTTCCTCCTCTACCTCAGCTGAAGGAGAATCAGCTGTGTCAGACAGTTTTTTGCACCTCAGTCTGAGCCCACGCCTGAAAATGTATTTAAATAAATACACAGTGTCAATTCAGATGGAGCACAGATCGAGAGAAAGTTTAAATGCAACAAAAACAAATCATTTAATGGTAGCCAACTGTACACACAAGGTACTCAGTGTACTTAAACTATATATGTTTGTGTTAAATGTAAATATTTTCATCCTGACTTCAGCTGGTTTGACATGTTTCTGTTTCTGTTTCTATGTGCAAAATGGTCCCTGTAGGTCTGCAGTTAAGAGCTGATTAATCGATCAACAGTTCAAACGGCAACTTTTCTTATTATTTATTCATTCTTTTATTCATGTTTTAAGCAAATATGTCAAACATGCGGCTTCTCAAGTTTGAGAATTTGATGCTTTTCTTTGTCATATATGAAAGTAAACTAAATTTGGGTTTTGGACTGTTGGAAAAAACTGTTTTGTGCTACTTTATACCTCCACTCCACTACATTTCAAAGGGAAATATTGTTCTTTTTACTCCACTACATTTATTATGAACCTGTATTTATTCATTCCTACACCAGATTCCTTGGTTGTACAGTAAATTAAACCACCCAGCAGTAATTAAATAATAAACTTAACTCTGCTGCAGCCAGCTACAACATTAAAATCTATCTCACTGTTACTGCATCAATAGTAATAATCTCATAATGTCATATATAATAATGTAACAACGACAGGGGCCAATTTTTTACTCAAGTAAGATTGTGAACACAAGAGTTATACTCATAACAATGTAAGAATGTTTTTAAATTGTGTTATTTTGAGACTTCATCCACCACTGCAAAGGCGCGAGGAAAAGATGTCAGTGATTGAAATGAGGAAACGTTTAAGAGAAGCTCCCTCTGTGCTGACGAACATGTGACTCATGTCTCCTCCTTGGACTCCCTTAAATTGAACAGATCTTAGTCACACGGATTACGCTGGAGTTTGTTCATAAAAAACAAAGAATGTGGTTTAGTTTAAAGTAAATTTAGGCTGATTACAGCTCTGTCTTTAAATAATGAATGAAATAAAACCTAAATTCAGTATCAGACAAGAGTAAATTGTCATTATTCTGTTACTTTCAATTATCAAGCTGTTCATTAATCATTTAAAGCAGTGAAAGCATTTTTCTAAGTGAATGAATGATACATTTATGTTTCAAATCAAACCAGAAACTCATCAGTCCCATTCACTGATTTTATATCAGGTTAACTAGTGACATCTAGTGGCAGAAATACATTACTGTACCATTATTATACAGTACACTGTTGAGTCTGGAAATGATAAATGATTTCATGTTAAATTATATCCCATACTATATTATGCTGTTTTATTACATTATATTACTTATACTATATTTTATATTTATATCATACATAAATCATGCAGACAACGCTAAGTATTATTACTTATTATATCATGCATCATTCTAGTGGTGAAAGTATTATTTTTTGTTTCCTTACTGTAGTATTGTTTCTATTTTTATTTTTATATACTATTAGTACTTTTCCCTATTTATCTGTACTTATGTCTGTCCTTGTGCTGCTGCAACACCTGAATGTTGCCTCTGGTGAGTAATAAAAAGGTGCTCACAGCTAAAACAAAATTAAATTGGTTAGAAATTAGTATTAGTAAAGCTCTGATGACAGCTGGGAAGACAAAAGCATTTATTTAATTATCAGATATTTAATTATTCATAAAAATACATTTCTATGTGGACTTTTAAGCGTATATGGTGTTATTTTTGTCTTTAAAAACAAGTTTTCAACTTTGCGACATCCATCAACATAGGCCCTGCATCAATGTCTGTTTCCACAAAACAGAAAATATATTAATTTCTTGTATATAAACTACCAAAATAGTGCATCAGTACATACTGCAGATAGAATAACAGCATTGGTTCAGTTGGTTTACAGTAAATAATAAGGTTTGTAATCTTGTTTCACTGTTCATTTGTCTTTTATTCTGGTTTTGACACTGAAGAAGAACCTTGCTGTTCTACTTTATTTTTCTGAGTTTGATCCTGTGTGACCATGAAAGCTAACAGGATGCTAACAGCCCATTTCTACATTATAGAAGAGCAGCTGGTTAAGTTCATGGAGGTTTTACCTTCGAGGAAAAAGCTCTTGAGGTGACTCAGCAGGCGACTCAGGTGATGGACATTTCTAGGAAAGAATAGATAATGTCTATCATATGACTCACAATGACTTTACAGTTACTACCATAATAGTAATACTAATAATAAACTACCTGTAGCAGTGTCATTGGACAATTAAAATGGATGATATCTAAGCATCCTATCACATGTCAGATCTATGTTTTGATTTCTGCTTGAGTCTTCTAAATCAAGATCCAAAAACCAGTTAGAGCAGCATCCACGTTAAATCATTATCATACCTCCGGCTGTGGCAGGATGCCCTCCCCCCACTCAGCCTTCCTCAGCAGACACCTCTGAGCCTGCTTCAAACTCTTCTCATACACCTCCATCTGAGCCTGGATCACCTGAAATCAGAGACACGAAGGAAGGATGGACAAACAGATGAAAAAGTGAGGAATTACACATGAAAATGATTGGATTTTTATTGTTTGTATTATAGAATTAATCAATATTCTTAATAAAGAAGGGAAGCGAGGTTTCATACCAAATGTAGTTCAAATTAAAACCAAATTTTAAAAACACTGGCAAAAGACAATGCTAATGAATGCACATAAAACTGAGAAAAGCAGTAAATATTCACATTTTAGAAGCTCCCACCAGAGATGACTGGCATTTTTACTAGTCTGCAGAATAGTGAACTGAATAAGTGTTCATAATGTAAAGTAAGAAGAAGCAAATCTTCACCTGTGTGTAGTTGTCTGGGTCCAGGCCTCGTGGACAGAAGGGAACCCCCCAGTAGTAGTGCACCGTAGGCTCGTCTGCAGGCTCCCCATGCGAGGCTAAAGGCCTGCTGACCGTTCTCTGACTGCTGATAGGGCGTTTTTCTCGCTCTGTTGGGGAAAGCTGCTGTTGGCCGGTGGATGTAGAAGAGGAAGAAGGTCTGACGAAGATGTGTGGAAACATACAGAGAGAGTTAGCAAAAAGGCATATTCGAACTGAGGCTCTTTAATTAGACGTAGTATGTGAGGTTTAGCTAGTTTAGAGCTTGAGTAGCCAATTCAATAAAGATAACACACAACTCGTTAGATATTATCACTCTAAAGCTAAACGTACAACAGAAACTCTTCTCCCCACCTGCAGTTCAACCTGGTCGTCCCGTGAGAAGCTGCAGTCATGTGGTTCAGGGAGGCAGCCTTGCTGTCTGTCTGATGAACAGGTCTCTCCTCTGGGAAGACCGGGCTGTGCGAGCCCACCGGCTGCAACAGATTGAGGGAGGAACGGTGAGGACAGACAAAAATTAGATGTTAAAAACTACAGTGTCAAGTTACGTCTTTAAGCCTTTACAAAGATTCAACAACCTGCCCTTCAAAAATAAAGCCAGTGTAACTTTCTTATTGTGAACAAATCCAATGTGTCAGCCCGTCTCTCAGTACTTTCTGACTTCCGGTCTGTGTTTCATGTTCAAAAAAGTAGTTCAGTAACTTGCTAAAACAGCTGGTCACTGTAGTTTTTAATCAAACAAACAGGAGGAAATAATGCATTGTTGGGTATTATGTTCAGTGGCAGATTAATTCACATTCAGTTCCCTATTCGGTGACTATCTGGTCGCAATGGGATTGTGTATGTGGGATTGATATGTTTATGGTACAACAACAATGTACAATGGAGCTCTATGGTAATGGTCTTTTTATGGGATTTGTTAACAATAAGAAAGAACATAGTATTATTCCTTAAAATAAATGTGTTGCAGTCCAAATGCAGGATTGAAACATTCTTGCTTTGAACATATTTTGATCTTCTAGCAGAGAGAAAGCCTCTGTACCGTGACGTTCTCCTCCTCGTCGGACCAGACTAGCGTCATATCACTGGTCAGCTCCATCTCAGCTGAGTCCCGGTCTTTGGATATTTCCTTCACCTCCTCTGCCTCATCTATAACCAGAAAACACAGATGGTAAAGAAAAGATATGGGACATCCAGTAGGCCCTGGTAGATCAGTAACATAAGCCTCATCATGTGACTGCCCTCAGACTGTTGACTAACAGGAATTAGGGGCAAAGGCCTCCAGAAAGCAAGAGTTGTTTCACTGTACCTGACTTAGATGACTCGTTCAGCTTGACATCTTGGTTGTGATCAGTCTTGCTGTCCTGTATTCAAAAGCAGAAAGAACAGAGAAATGAGCAGGACATTTGGAAAGATGTCTGGATGTTATGACTGAAATACAACGAGAAAAAAAGACTGACCACCAAAAAGTTAGCAATCAATATGACCCATTCTCCCATTCTTCACTTTAGCCACTTTAAGTAGACTAGAATCAATGATTAAGCCACACATGCGATTGTTCATTAATTAAATTTTAGGTTTTCTAACAACAGCATCAGACTGCTTGCTACTGATGTTACGCTGAACAGAGACGGTGGGCGACACCGAAGTCTGTTTCACTCCGGTGAAGATCAATGTTTCAGCACATTGTGTCAGAGCTTGTGTCAAATGAATTGAAGCACAAGACTGATAACATCCAAAGCTTCAATCGTCTCTGCTGCTTCATTCAGTTTGACAGTTTAGAACGTTTTACAGCTAAACTAAGTGATCCGCACATTAGAGGGACAAGAAGAGAGAATACTGAGAGAATATGGCGATGTAGACTAGAAATACATAATCATCAAGTCAGGTATGAATTATGAGAACAATTCTGTCTGATACCAAGTAGTAATGTAATAAATCTAATTGCCTAATTATCTGAATATCATTCTACAATCACATCACATTGTTACAGTATGAAATGTTACATAAATATCAACCAGTTGAAGCAATAAGGTTATATATTATTCATATTTCTTGTCAGTAAAAGTATTTTATCTGTAGGCTTTTTATGGAATACATTTATTCGCATCCACATTTCTATAAATCTATATTTAATGCAACACTTCAGGAGTATTATAGATTTAAAAATAACATGCAGTTGGACTTTTATTACAAAGATATGAGTCTTCACAGGAGGTGTTCAAAGGGCCTTAAAGGGCTGCCTCAAAGCTTCATAAGGCTTAGACCGGCCGTCACCAGGGTTGAATAAAATACAATACAATAAATATGTTGCAGAACAATATTCATCAATGGGGTTTGGTGGCTTTGAACAGAGCAATAGAGCAGCTGTTCCTGGTGGCTGCCAGCTGCAGCTCTCTCGCTCAATACTGGACCAATTTCAATTCAACTGTTCTCCCCATTAGTCACTTAGACACAAAACATAGGAAAATGAGGTTCAGGTTGAAAAATACAGAAGTTTCCCTTTAACTGGGCCATTATATCAGCCAATATTAGCTCATTGGAGTTATATTGGTATCACCAAACATGTGAGCAGATTAATAACAAAACACTGCAGAACACCAATGTCAAATATATGTTTGAGGTCCTTAAATACTGACTTATTTTTTCACTATAAAAATATCCCACTCGGTATGTGTCTAGGTCAAAAAGGGGAAATCTAAGGGATCCATTTCAACAATGTTCGTGAAAAAATAATAAGGATGTTCAGCTGATATTTCGATTTATTTTAAACTCTCGAATAAAAACATCGAACAAAAAAAAAAAATCCAGTAGTTTCAGGCGCTGCTTGACAATCCGACAAGCACTTTGAAGCACACAGACACCTGAACTCACCTGCCTCAGAATCTGATCCCCAGTGGCTCCTGTATTCCCTTCAGTGCCTGAACATCTGAGCTCTGCAGCTGAAGGACTCGCAGAGTGATTCTGCACATCAAGATGAATCTTTTGTGGTCGCCCAGCCCTGTCCAACACTGGGCTTGTACAGCATCCGTGACTCTGCTCAGTCTGTCCTCCATCAGTCTCTAAGAACACAGGACTTTTGCAGATTGCTGATTCTGGGGGAGGGAGCTTCTTGGGAAGACCGGGGCTTTTTGGGAATACCGGGCTCTTAGGCCGACAGGACGCGGACCTCACAGAGGAGGTTAAACTCTCCTGAGAAGAGAACATGAACCCTGAGTTACAGACATTGACTTGGGGTTTGCAGGCACTTGGTGACTTCTCATGCTGAGTATTCCTGCCAAACACTGGACTTTTAAAATACTCAGGACTCGGCTCTGTCTCTCCATAGTCTCTGTGATCAGTCTCTGAGCAGACAGGACTTTTAGGTAAAGCCGTGCTCTTGGATAAAGTGAGGTTACCGGAGCGCTTGGGGCTTTGGGGAAATGTTGGGCTCTTGGGTTGAGCAGGCGAAGACTTTCGAGGCGAAGTCCAACTGTCCTGAGACAACAACACAAACCCTGAGGTTCTGCAGGTTTGCAGCAGGTCCTGGCTCAGACGTGGGACGTGAACCTCGGCTCTGCAGCCAGTCGAGGGGAAGACGGGGGATTTACGGAGCTGACAATCGTCGATCTGGGTCGACTCAGAGCTCTGATTTATTGTTGAGAGAAGACAAATACATACATGATCATTCATTTAGAGTCATGTTTGTGTCCACCTGATGAATATATGTCCAATATTCATTCTCTTTTAGCTCTGTTTTTAGTCTCCACCAGCCACCCTTTTAAATTGCGTCTGTCTGCTGCTGAGCAGGTAGTGTACGCTGGGTATTTAACATTTCTCTTGTTACACCTTTTCAAACGTAAGGACTTTTCTGTTTTATATCATTGCAAATTCAATTAATTGGCAACTATTTTGATTATCAGTTAAAGCACATTCAAGAAAAGTTTCAATCACTCGTTTATTCCCGTACTTCCAATGTAAGGAGCCTTTTTTTGTTTTATGTCATTGTAACCGAATATCTTTGGGTGCGTTTTGAAGATCTCACCTTGGACTCTGGGAAAATGGTGTTAGTGGTTGTTTTTCACATTTACAAAGAAACTCTGACAGATTCATTGATAACAATTATAATAATTAGGTTGGGCTCTTGGAAACTGTCACCAGCAGCCTTTTCTGGCATTTCATAGACAAATGAATTAAATAAAAATAAACTCAACACATTATTCAAAAGGTAAGAAAGAAAAGTCAGAAATGTTTTTGACGAACCTGGGTTGAGTCCAGAACCAGGTCTAGGGACTCTGAGCTGCAGGGTGATGCCTGAGAGTAGATTTTCTGAGTCTGGGACAAGTCTGGCATCTCCAGCAGAGGGCTTCCTTCTTTCCTTTTCCGCTTTTTATTCCTGGTATTACTTTCATCTCCAGTTCCTTTTGCTCCTGGGAATACAATACAGCATGTTTAATGCCAGCAATTTGTCTCATTAAATGCCCAAATTACATATTTTCCCTTTTCTGCTGTGGTACTTCAGCAGAATCTGATGTTCCTTGTCCATGTCAGTGCAGACAGAAACTAAGCATTGTCGGATATCTAACAACAGAACTGACTCAGCGCTCAGTGACCCACCTGTGTTCAGGTCTGTCTCTGGTGTGCAGACGACCTCTGAGGCTCCCTGATCGACGACAGACACCGGCTTCCCATTTGAGTAGAGGAGTTTCCGCCGAGAGCAGATCCTGAGTGAGGCCTCAGCATCCGTGACCAGACTCTGACTTTGGGAAGGCGGGCACGGTTGTGTCTGACTGGCCATCTACAAGAAGAAAACCACAAAGGGATACTGTATTAACAAATGATCGAGATCCCTAATTTCTTAGATATTCCTATGCATCCAGTGTGTTTTGGAGTCGGTTAACACTGACTGGCTTTGTTTCTGCTTTTAGGAGGATTTGACAACTCATCTGTTTGGTTCATTTAAAAGAGGCATGTATTAGACTGAGACTACAACTGACTAAAACTATTTGCAGTCTACAGTCTAAAGAGTCCTGCAATAAAATCCTAATCCTTCATGAAGGTTATAATATTCAGTTTGTGTTGAGACTGTTGCAAACACATGTTGATACAACTGTATGGTCATTTTAAAGGGGAGTTTGCGGGGGCTGTTATACAGACAGGTGTTTCTGTTATTTAGCCTACCCTCACTGATATAGATGGGGTGGAAAGTAATAATATCAGTATAACACAATACAATTCAACAGCACCACAAACTACATCCACCAAATTTACCACACAGCTGCATCGACGCGCCTCTAAAACAAGAACTGATCATTATCACCTTCAAGAACGGAGGATTTAAAAAACTCTGTACTCACACTCTCATGGATGGCTTTCATCATGGCCTCTTCCTCTTTCTGCAGCCTGAGTGCAGTGATACTGGCTTCCTGTTCACTCAGACGCAGGGCCAAGTCCATCATCTCCTCTTCTGTCATCTCTAAAAACAGCAGACACAAGGGTACCAAGTCAGACGTCAGGGAGGTATATTACAGATTCACAACTCTCACATATATGATTCTATTCTTATTACGTTTTAGGCTCGATTTCTGTCAATACACTGACATTAATTTCTATTGTACTTCTCCATCTCCATCCTGTGCTAATTAGAAACTAACAAAACATTAAATGTTTGGTAGTTATTTTGGTACGCTGGATGTCATGTTATGTACCTTTGGGTTTGGATTTGTTTTCCCTCTCTTTCTTGTGCTTTTCTCTCGACGATGAAGGTGACAGAATTGACAAAGAGAGCTCGTCCTGGAAGAACAAAAAACAGTCCAAGTGTTAGTGCTGTCATTTCCCTGAGTTCATAAAGGCCTCGTGTTTCACAGATCTATGTTCAAAGGAGTTACTTTTTGTCCTTTTATTTTACCCCTTTTTTGTCTGAATAATTCAACTAACTATGTTCAAATTATTACACAACCCATGAATTACTATCCAGCCACCGTTGAATCATCAAATCAGCTTTTTTGAAAATATGTTCAGGAAGGTTGGCAGGCACCTACAGAAAAACCTACAGGGGCACATTTCAAGCTTCATCCAACAACCAGTTTGGATTCGGGACACAAACTGTGGTTTAATTAATTAAGTATATGGAAAATGAAAACAAATCCCTGAGCTACATTTGCTTTGGAACAAGTCACAGCTTTAAGTTACTGAACCAAAGTGACAATGTACTCTACAACACACAGCTTTAGACATACGAACGTCTCTGAAACTGAGCCTGATTCTGACTAATGTTCACATTTCTTTACATTGTCGTCTCTGTCGTCGAGAGCTTTGTCCTCCTGTGTGTTTTCATCACCCTGTTGGCTTCCAGAGGGAATGTCACTCGCATCCTTGATCATTTGCTTTCGCAGAGCCATCCTGGTCAGCTTCTCAGAAACTGTGACCAACAGAGACACAAAAAAGCAGCTTTTAAGCCAGCGTTTCAGCTCTCAAATCTCTGCTGGTTTTCTATCTTGAATGCATCACCGTGACTGAGAAATTTACATTAGGCTCACCTGCCTACTTCTGATTACTTTTTGCAAATGCTGAAGCATCAGATTCAGCATTTCAAGCAGGTGTGTGTAAGGTATTGTACATGTGTAGTAACGCACGGGAGTAAAACTGTACTTCTACTCTATATTTTCTTCTGCCTGGAAGAAAAATAAGAACAACCTGTCTTTGGACCAATGTGCAATGACGACGGAGCAAATCCCAGAAGAAGAGGCAGCTTCCAGTGACAACCTCTGTCCACATCTGGCTACACTTTTTATATCAAAATATAAAACAAATATAAGTGACATGAAGTGCTTGCCGTGCCTCCCAAACTACACTGAGACCTCCGCTTTTAAAACCTCCTCTTCTTACCTCTGTAAGCACATTGAGGTCTGATGTACTAATAACTTAGTGAGCAAGAAAAAAAGGAATAGATTAGGGCTGAACAATTGAAGACTGCACATATTTTAAAACTTTTATAAAGTGAAAATTAAATTAATGATACAAAAATCATAATTTCCACACTTAACGTGAATCATAGCATAATCGTAATATGATGTTTTTACCATATCGTGCAGCCCAAGAAGAGATGGGTATTTGTTTGATTGGCCTACTTCCTCTACTTTATTAAAACTACTTCCAATGAGTGCTTTAGTCATTATTTCACCCTAAAAATATTAAAATAGACAGCAGCTTGTACTTTATTTACAAGGTGATTTTTGAATTTTTACTTGAGTAATTGTGCTTTTAATGAAGTAAAGAGTACTCTACCTACCACGGACAGCCAGCTTACAGTGAGCTCTTATATACTTAGGTGATTTCTACAAGACAGAGCATCTGAATCTAAACTGAACCACAACTAAAGTAGAATTAATCCTGGAGAAATTAAGATTAAAATCCTTTTATTATGCAGCCTACGATTAAATCACAGCTTCAACAGCACAGTAAGAGATAAAGCGAGATTAAACTTAACCCCAAAAACTGCTGCAAAGCTACGACCAGAGCCCCAACCTCGCCCACCCTCAGCAGTAGTTACCTAGTGATGAAGAGTGTCCTCCTCTTCCTCTCATCTGTCCGGAGGGTCTGTGTGACGGGGTGGCACCAGCGTGGACTCCCAGAAAACTGACCAACCTCTGTGTTAGAGTTTAAAATAAAAGAGGGACAATAGAGCTAAGTGAGAAGCCTGGAATGACTTTGAGCTGATCGATTCTCATCCTGATCGATCCAGCTGATAGCTTACACAGCTCGAGGACATCGCTTGACGTGAACCTGAACACACGAGACGCTAAACACTGCGAATAAAGTTCGTATTTTCGATTTTGTGTGTAATTAAAAGCTAATTTAAGGAGTACACGTTGGCGTCTTTGTGTTTATGTGTCCGACGGCTACACAAAACAACGACAAACCGAACAATAGTCATTTTAGAGACACTCACAGCAGAGTTTTCCTCACTTTCGCGGCGCCATGTTTGTTTCTGTTTACGCAATCACGTGACTTTGACGTAAAACGCGTCCTTCTCGGTGCCTTCACGGACCGTCGGTTAATGTCGCTTTATTGCTGCCTTCACGGACCGTAGGTACTGTGATATAGCGATAGATAGATAGATAGATAGATAGATAGATAGATAGATAGATAGATAGATAGATAGACAGATAGATAGATAGATAGATAGATAGATAGATAGATAGATAGATAGATAGATAGATAGATAGATAGATAGATAGATAGATAGATAGATAGATAGATAGATAGATAGATAGATAGATAGATAGATAGATAGATAGATAGATAGTATCCTGCTTCCTCCACAGAAAAATCTTATATTAGAACAGGAGCTAGAGCCTTCAGTTACCAAGCTCCTCTCTTGTGGAACCAGCTTCCAGTTGTGGTTCGGGAGGCTCCACATTCAAGAGTAGGCATAAGACGTTCCTCTTTGATAAAGCTTATAGTTAGGGCTGGATCAAGTGAGTCCTGAACCATCCCTTAGTTATGCTGCTATAGGCCTAGACTATCGGGGGATTTCCCATGGTGCACTGAGCTACTCTCTTCCTCTCTCTTTCTGCACTCATTCATGTCCCATTAATGCATGTTACTAACTCCACTTCTTCCCCGGAGTTCTTGTGCTTTCTCGTCTTGCAGGTTCTTGTTGATCCTGGTGGAGCCTCCTGCCATGGTCCTGCTTGACTGCCATTGCCAATACTGTTGTTGCTGTGCACCTGTCTGTCTGTCTGTCTGTCTGTCTCTCTCTCTCTCTCTCTCTCTCTCTCTCTCTCTCTCACCCCAACTGGTCGAGACAGACGACCACCCACCTAGAGCCGGAGGATCTGTCCTAGGTTTCTGCCTTTTAACAGGCAGTTTTTCCTTGCCCTTGTCGCCAAGTGCTTGCTCATGGTGGTACTGTTGGGTCTCTGTAATTAATGTTAAAGAGTTCGGTCTAGACCTGCTCTATTTGAAAAGTGTCCTGAGATAACTTCTGTTATGAATTGGCGCTATACAAATAAAATTGAATTGAATTGAATTGAATTGAATTATATTTGTTCTTGCACAAAGCAATAATAATAAGAGAAAATTAACAAAAGCCTGCATGTCATTCATGAAACGTTCACTGACAACCAAGACTGTTCTGACCCACCTGAGTATGTTGATTCATTGCGTCTAAACTATTTGTGTACACACAATTCATGCACAACGGCCAAGAGCTTCGCAGTTGGTATCTGGTTAATGTCTAACTCAGTGCAGGTTAGTCTAGCCTGGTGTGTGTCCTCTTGTAACCATATAAAGGCAACTGCTCTCGAATCCACATTTTAATATTTCCATCCAGGATCCTACAGCTGACCTCCTCAAACAGTTGACATGGCTTTAAATGGTAAAATAGCAGTAGTGACCGGAGCAGCGCTGGGGATAGGAAAAGCAATGACAGAGATACTCCTGCAAAATGGTGCCACGGTAAAGTTTTGCCTCTGTTATGCAACGTAGCCCAACATACTCTGTGTGCAATTTTGTGGGCACCTTTGCAGCATTATATGTAAATATGTATGTAAATTACAAGCAAAAAGCCGACAGTTTTGTAATGAATGTGTATATTTAAACAAGGAGAGTCTTCAATACTTAACAACAAGCAGTTTTTTGATACATAGTTGTATTTTATCGTAAAACATTTACAACAATGCAACAAAAAATAAGATTAATAGTTCATACTTTTATGTCTTGCATCTTATCCTTTTAAAAAACATTACACACACTGTATGTTTGGCAGTTAATCAAAGCTTAGATATGGGTTAGAGAATGTATCTGCATTTCTTTTTGTGACCTATAAAAGTGATAATCTCTTTTTTAAACAGTATAGTTTTTACAGTTTGTACTTGCAGATTATCTTTGTGCATTTGAAATTCAGGCTGCACTGAAGCAAAGTCCAGCCATAAAAGACAAACACAGGCTGTCCATGGAAAGCAGCCATGAGATGTCCTGTCCAGCTCTCTGACGGACAGTCTCCTGTACAGGTTGTCCTCCTGGATGTGAATGAAGCTGCAGGGAAGAGTTTGAAAGAAGCCCTCGACAAACAGTACGGACGGGAGAAAACTTTGTTCCTGAACTGTGATGTTGAGTCAGAGGAACATATTAAAGGTAACACACACACGTCCATTGCCAGTGTTTTTAAGATTTACACTTTCTACAATATCTGCACATTGCAACTACTGTATGGCTAAGTTTAGGGAAAGATGGTTATGGGATATGGTTAATTATGGTTTAGGTAGGGGTAGGGATAGGTAACACTTCTTTAAAATATGGGAAAGGTCATAGTTGCCCCTAATAAAAACAATTAACATCAAACGCAATTACACTAATGAGAATGTTACTTTTATATATTTAATCTTTTGCTAGAGAAACCTGAGAGAGAAATAGAATGGAGATAAGACACCAGGACTGGGTGATATGTTAATATATAGTCATCCGAGTACACACAATCTGCATCAGAAACAATCACTCTCTAAAGAAGTCCAGAATGGGTCCAATGGGATGTGTTATTTTCTGCTTTAAAGCTGCCTTTCAGAAAACTGTGGAAACCTTCGGTGGAATTGATATCCTCTGCAACAATGCCGGCATCTTGAATGAGAGAACATGGGAGAAAATGATCTCCATAAACCTCGTAAGAATATATACTCCTGTCTTATTCAGGTCAGAAAATAAGTTACTTACTAACAAAACTGTGTATATTAACAACTGCCTGCCTGGAAGAACTCCTCAGTAATTTCCCCATGTGCACTCAGGGCTAACTCATTATTATTATGTATATAATGGAGTAATGGAATAAAGAGACAAGTTTGTGTTTAAAAATCACCAAAATATGAATTCTGTGTTGTAGGTGGGTGCTATCAGGGTAGCCTACCTGGCTCTCCAGCACATGAATAAGTTGGCTGGAGGTCGGGGAGGGGTCATCGTCAACACAGCATCAATGGCAGGTACAAGTATTTTCATTGTATCTCTTCAAGCACTAAGCACATTTGGTATTTTAAGTTTTGAGAGCTGTTTAAAACGTAATAATTAACTAAAATGAACGCTGGAAACATTGCTACTGGTGTTTGAATGCAGGTCTCTGCAGTGGGTGGGAGCTTTTATATCTGTTACACCTCTGATATGATGTGCACAGGCTTATATATTATTATTTTATAAAAACATTGAAAAAGGTGGTTGCTCAGCACCTCAAAAAGTGCTGTAGTGAAAACAAAAGACCAAGTCTGATGACGTTGTGAAGTAGTGTGGGGTCATAGGAGTTGTTGTCTTCACCACCATTGCCGGCAGAGGTCTCCTCCTCTCCAAAAACAAAAAGTAGCTGCTATTTAAAATCGGTAAAAACACTGAATAAAACAGTTTCACCTTAAAAATGTTTGTTTTTCCGACGCTGTTCGGACAAAGGACGTGCTGAAGGGGCTGCGAGCCGAGCTGCTGCTAACGTTAGCTCAGCTTTCTGATAACTTTAGATCCAGACGTCTGATGACTAAAATCATTCACCTGGTTTAAATATTCAACAAGATCAAAAAAGTGTATTGTAAAAATGTGGCCTAAAAGTGGATTAAAAATAAATAAATAAAAAAGGTCTCATATTTAGAGGAATATTGCTCAATGAAAACAAGAAAATCTTGTTAATCTGTGTTCGTTAAGGTTTTAAAACTGACCAATATAACCCACATCCCACAGGTCTCGGTCCTCTAATGAGCTGCCCTGTCTATACAGCCACCAAACACGGAGTGGTCGGCTTCACTCGAGCCATGGCGGTAAGGGCGATGACGTTTATTGATGAAGGAAAGATAATAACAGTTTGACTTTATTTTACCCTTATTGTCTGTATTGTATATTGTGTTTCTGAGTAGTTAAAGCCTAATTTTGTGTGTGTGTCTTTTACCAGGCTGCCTCTACGGCCTCAGGCTATGGTATACGGTTCAACGCCCTTTGCCCAGGTTTTGTCCAAACTGACCTCTTCTCCGCCATCCCATCCAACCTGGGACATTACTCCCACCTGGCTGATGCAACCCAGCAAATGGCAGACATGATGGGGACGTTAACGTGAGTTCAAACAAATCTACCTTTAGTCCTGTGCTCCAGTTCTGTTTGTTTTAGAGCAGGTTTGACTTAGTTCCATTATGTACAATATTAATAAGTACAAACATGATTAAATTACTCAAATTATCCTGACATCTTGGACAGCCTGGGACAATTTTCCAACTAGGCAACATCAAAAGGGTGTTTAATAGAGTCTTTTATAATGTTAAAAATGTTCATGAACTTAAACCCCATCTTTGATTCTGGCTCAGCACAGCGTTACAATGTGCCACAAATTCAACCAATAGGAGAATTGCCCAGCAAAAATTTTTGGACGTGAGGGGTCACACTGCTTTCCAGCATTGGACACTTGTAGTCTACTGTGTCTACTTTGTTTCTTCTCATATGCTCAATATCGATTCTGCTTACAGCAAATAAAAACAACACACAGTCGAACCCCTCAGTTACATTGTGTTACACATGTTGAAGTTCATTACAATGACTGTGATTAATACTGTCTACATGCTTATCCTGCTGAACCACTGTATCTTTTGTTCCAGTGTGTCTCTGGTAGCCGAGTGCCTCCTCGAGCTGGTGAATGATGAGACAAAGAACGGGGAGGCCCTCTTGGTGACAACTAACGGAAATAAGTACATCACATTTCCTGTATTCACCTTGAGCCGAGGCCCCTGATTGAATCCTGTAATGTTTCTCAGTGTTTCTATGTGCATAAAAATAAAGAAAGGTCATCACTTTATTTGAAAAATGATCTGTTTAATTATCGATTGAACACTTAAATGATCGGAGTGTCTGGTATCATGGTTTTAAAAGCCTGTGAAATATATAGCCCACAGTACAAAATGTGACATGAGTGTTAATAAACTAATGAAAACTCCATCCATCTCTATGTTTTCAGTGATTTTCAGTTACACAAACAACCCCCAAATGCAAAAGATTTAAGGTACAAGTGATGTCTGATGCTCATATTCAGATGTAATCTAATACGTTGTTGTGTAACAGCTATTGTGTCAGTCCTCTTTTACTTCCTGCTGTTAAAAAACTGAGATTCTGGTGCCATAAACACTTGCTTTTTCTCCACAATCAGAAACAGGAAGTTGTGTCCCCCATCCGAGCAATGGGTTTAACAACAATTTTTGCAGGAGGTGTTTTTGTCTTCCAACTTAGTACATGAAGGTTGAGGTGTGACCAGAAACGCCTGTAGGGGGAGACATACTACAAACATGACACACTAGATTGGACAGCATCTACAGCTTGCACAGTAACACGTCTATTAGTGACATGAAATCCGAGTGACATCAATTTTGTTTTGCCCTTTACCTGCTGACCTCTTGTCTGTGTCCCATACAGAGCTTTTCAATGGAACTATTTGACTGTGTGGTGGTAAGGCTCTCCAGTATTTCTTTCTACAGGATGGTTTGTTAATAAGGCAGGTGGGGTCCCTTGTGGGGAAAATTTGGCATGTGGGTTTGTGAAAGCAGGTGGTTACGCCTGTTAAGTATAGATGGGCTATACTTAAAACTGCTGGTCATATGGGAGTGAGCATTTTAAAATACATACATACATTCCACATACATTAAGACCTGTCAGATCTGCCAGTTAGCAGGAAAACCAGATCAACCTATTTTGGTTGGTAAAGTGAGCCTTTATATTGTACCATTAATGGATACTTTAACTCTGGGGACTTGTGATAGTGTTCTAGAAATATTTTAGGTGTCTCCTTATGGATTGTGGTGTCACTTTGCTAGTTTTGGTGTTTTTCAGACTTCTCTGAAAGTCGGGTGACAGTCCATGTCGTTCAGCTCTATGGTGCACGAAACAAAAACATTTAGAGGCTACTCTTGCAGAACGACCCTTGTTTCTGTTGTCCCTCCACCTCTTCTCCTCTACTGCCCTTCCTGTTTCTTCAATCTGTTAACCACAAGCAAATTCATTAGTGGCATCTAGTGGGGAAGTTTCAGATTGCTAGTGTCTGTATTAGACGTCCTGGGAATGAAAACGGGGCTGTGAAGTGTGAAGGAGAAACTGCAAAAAAATATGTACTATCTACAGCCAGTGTTTGGTTTGTTCGTTCTGTAGAAACATGGTGATTCAGCAGAGCGTATGTACATAAAAACAGCTCATTCTAAGGTAACGAAAACACATCAAGTTTTATATTCAGGTGATATACTAATGAAAACATACCTATGAATATTATATTCCATTTCTGCCAATAGATCCTCACTGATGTTACACACTGGACCTTTAATATCTTTAGTTATATTTATAGTTTAAAGCCATTTTAGCTGTTCAATCAGAGGAGAGGAGGCTGTAGGTTGCCTGTTGCCTGTTATATACCAACGCTGTCCATAAGGAGAACACACTGAGCCAGTCAGGGCCTGAAATGAACTGTTCTCTTTAGTGTCCCACAACCGTTCCTAAATTCTACTTTAAACACTTTTACAATTTAACAGATATAACACCCATTGTCCCAAATGGAATTCTTTATTTTTCATTGAACTTAATATATAATATAGTTTAATAAAGTTGTTTCAGTAACTCACATCACTTCACTGACTTACTCAATTTACTGTTTGATCAATAAATGCATACACAAAAGGAACACTGTAATCCAGAGATCCTGTTAGAAAGAGTGAGAGAGAAGGTCAAACTCTGTGAAAATTTAAAAGCTCAAACAAACTAACTACATTTGCTTTAGGAGTTTACCCAAAGACAGAAATCAGAGAGAGAGAGGGAGAGAGAGAGAGAGAGAGAGAGAGAGAGAGAGAGAGAAGCTCAAATGTGGCTACACACCACATTTGAGGTGAGGAGAGGGAGAGACCCTGATGCTGTTGGCAGTAAAGCCGTGGACTGTGATTGCTCTGAGGAGCATGGATGGGAATGAATTACAATATAATGTATTGGCTTTTTCCCTGATGCTCTGAATAAGTAGTTCACTTTGTCGGTAGTCACTTTTTTTTTTTTTAGAAATAAGTCGCTCAAAGGGTATTAAAAGTCACTAAATTTAGAAAAGAAAGTACAGATATTTGTGTAAAACTGTAGGGGGTAAAAGGTGAAAATGATACCTTCATGTATAGGATAGACGATCGTAGGATGGTGTCAGGCTAACATCAATACCTTCACATACACAAAACCTACGCAAGATATGAGACATGTTCATTCATCTTACATAATACATGTACGGAACGCCCGATTACCAAACTTGCATGTGTCCAGAAATATATATTGACTGTTAGGGGCTCTCCGATTGAACGTTATCAGCCGGTATTTGCTCTAAATAGTTTGATCGCTATAAATGCCACTCAGACAACACATTTATTTTGTTCCACAGGACAAGTTCCATTCAGTATTTTCCAACACATATTTACTTAGGAGGGCCGTAATTAAACCTAAAAGTTGTTTCCTTGCACCTTTTTTTTCTGTTATCAGACAATGTCCCTTATCAAGAGCAGCTTCATGCTTCATATAAAGTTCAGTATTTAATCAAATTGTTTTGAGTCGTGAATTAAGAGTTGATTTGACTAATTGTAACATCAACAATCGGAATCAAATTGAATCATGCCCGAAATTCCCGCCCCCTTTCCATGCAGTCCTAATCCTAATCTGAATTATTTTGGTAAGTATATCCTTCTGTCCATACTACAGATACATTAAGAGTGATATAGGGGTAATGCTGTTATTCACATTATTGTTTATATCTTAGATACGCGTTATTATAATTATTATGCCCAGTGCCCAGGATGATTCTTGCTCGCACCTTCAATTGCTTACAACAGCGAGAGCAACAGGACTCTAAATGCAGTTCATCTAACAGCCAGTGGTGTCAGTGTGCTGCTGTTTTTCCGAGCTCATGAAAAGTTGGCATTTTAGAGAAACTAGGTTCTCACAGGACAGTGAATCTCACACTAAACTATCCAACAGTATATAAAGTAGATCAAATTATCTTGACCTACACCAACATCTACAGCAGTGAAATGCAACATGCCCATTAATGCAGCAGGGATATAAATCCAAAAACATCATATGTAATAGGAAAACACTGACAAGGACCATTTTACTGAGCAGTGAGTACTTTTACTTTTGATACTTTACATACATTTTACAGACAATACTTACATACTTTTACTTAAGAAAGGTTTTGAATGCAGTATTTACGTGTAACAAAGTATTTTCAGTTTAGTATTTGTACTTATTTAACTACAGCAGCAACAAGGAACTTACATTATTTCTAGCGGCCCCTGTGGACAAAAGCGGTAGTGTTTACACCTCCTTGTTTCATTGATTTCAAGGGGAATCCGACCCAGTGGCAGGCATTAGGAATAACTTAATAAAAATAGCCAATATTCTCAGGGATCGTCTAGTGTACTTATGTAGGTCACATAGAGGCATCAGTATTCATTTGGATCTGAATACTTCTTCCACCATGGATTCCAGATAGCAAAAACAATTATTGTAATTTAGACATGGTTACTAGCAAGGTTAATGATAACCATTAGAGGATGCAAAAGGCCTGCAGCTTAGACCTTTTATGTACACTGTATTGGCTACTCATGAAATGAGAAATTCCTTGTCTGCTTCAAACAAGCCACTAGATAAATGAGGGAAAAGTTGCGTATTCTTTTCCATCTGAGAACACCATTAGGGCCTCTCCGTTCTTCGTCCCATCTGTCACCAGCTCAAGGACGGCCTCAGCTACCTCAGATACACTGAAATAAGAAGGTACAGTGACTTCAGTGAATATGCTCATACACAGTATCCTGCATGGTCATGATAATGTACTTCCACTGAATCATTTTTGTACTTCTGAGAGGCAAAGACTCACTCTAACAGCCGGATTTTATCAAGAGGGCTTTTGTCCAGTTCGGAGAATTGGCCCAGTCTGTCGCCTATGCCGATGAGGAGGGTAGTTTCAACGAAACTTGGGCAAATTGCGTTGAAGCGTACTCCATACTCCAAGGCGGTAGAAGCAGTCTAGTAAGAGATACACACAATTGAGCTTCAACTGTTCAAAGGCATTACGTATAATAAATAATACAATAAAAGTAAAAATCTACACTAATAAAAGTACATTTTTATTGTACTAAACAGCCTGTACTGAGCCAAAAGAGGTGGTCAAACAATTACAAACAGAGGATTTAGGCAGTGCGTAATGACTCATAAGGACCAGCATAAGTTAGCTGTACATGAAAAAACATTTTAATTGACACCTGGTTTAAATTTCTGCTGCAAATTCTTGTACACAGATTGTTTTCTTTATCTGTCTGGACTTTGTTGTAAGAAAAGCATTCCTTACCGCCATGGCTCGAGTGAAACCGACCACTCCGTGCTTTGCGGCTGTGTAGACAGGACTGCTCGCTATAGGTTCAATACCTGTAGGATGTGGGATATATCAGTCAATATTAGGGTGCACCATATAACATAACAGAGAAATCATTAGCACTACATTAAATGAATGCTTTAAGTAATTACTTTTAGCTGTATTGGATGTATCTTCTCTACATACCAGTAGTACTGGTCTGCAGGCTGTTGAATTTTTTGCACCATTTAAGCACCTTATGTAAGTAAAGAAGTATCTTATTTTATCCTGTCCTCTTACAAGTTATTTATTAATGTAATTGGCTGTATCCAAATCTTTTTTCCTTCTGACTTTTTTGAACAAATGAAACCTGCAAAAGCAGTTAATAACAGACACAAAGATGGATCTCTTTCCAGACTCTGTCCCCTGGTTTATAAAACATGGTTGCACCCAGTAAGGCTTCATTTGATTTGATCTGGGTTTGGATTCATTTATTATGTCTGACGGTGAGAGAAATCTGCAAAATGAATACGTACGGTCAACTAAAAAAGCAAAAAACAAACAAATTCAGAACATTGTGGGCCTTTACCTGCTATGGATGCTGTGTTGACGATGACCCCTCCCTGACCTCCATTCAACTTGCTCATGTGTTCCAGAGTCAGGTAGGCTACCCTGATAGCACCAATCTACAACACAAACCAAGACAGAGGAAATCTCATTTTGTCTTCAGGACGTCCTTTGTGTACCAAATGTTGTGAAATGAAACAAGAAGCTGAATGCAAAACCTGATAAATGTAACTCTTTACACTTTGTTACAGTCTAACAGCTGGAAAAAAAGCAATGTAAATGTTTTTTAAGTACAAGAAACAGGCATAATCCCAACCAGATGCAGTTTGTTGCTTCTTACAAGGTTTATGGAGACCATTTTCTCCCACGTGAGCTCATTCAAAATGCCGGCATTGTTGCACAGGATGTCTATTCCTCCAAATGTGTCTACGGTTTTCTGCAAGGCAGCTTGAGAAAAGAAAAAAACAGTTAGTAGTTAACCAAGTTGAGCGCCTCCTCTTAAAGGTCCAGTGTGTAGGATTTAGTGACATCTAGTGGTGTAGTTGCAGATTGCAACCATTTGAATACCACTGAGTCTTCCAAAGGTGTAGGATAAACTACGATAGCTGTGAATCTTGCAAATAAAACCCTATCCGGTGCCAGTGTTTGGTTTGTCTCATCTGGGCTACTGTAGAAACATTCAAGATAGCGGCCACCGTGGAGGGACCCACTCTCCTGTAATTAAAAACGGTTTATTCTAAGGTAACAAAAGCACAACAATTTCTATATTCAGATGATTATACACTAATGAAAATATATTTATGACGATTATATTAAATATCTGCCATTAGATCCTCCTAAATGTTCCACACTGGACCTTAAGACTCCTTGTGGGACTGATGAGGCTGTTGCATTAATTTATGTCAATAAAAAGGACTCCAGCTGTCTTCCTCTTGTCAGTACCTTTGTGTGTGTGTGTGTGTGTGTGTGTGTGTGTGTGTGTGTGTGTGTGTGTGTTACCTTTGATCTGCTCCTCTGATTCAACATTACATTGCAGGAACAGAGTTCTTTCCTCTCCATACAGTTTCTCAAGGACTTCCATTAAATCATTTCCTGCAGCTTCGTTCATATCCAGGAGAGCTACCTGTACAGGTAGATGAACCATCATATATACACTCAGTTGTCAGTTTATTAGGTACACATCTACCTAATGCAGTCTAATACAGTCTTGAAATGTTCAACTGTATGGTCACAAAAATACTTATTATCGGTGGAGTGCTCCTTCAAGAAGCTCAACACCTCAGTGACTACAAACTACAGCTACAAAGTGATCTCTGTTGTCTTAAACCATCTCTCCCATACCATACAATTACTAGTTTACACCACCCTTAAAGGCAGACTCGACATACATATTAATCGACGGATTAAACTCTCTTTTAATTTAAATTAACTTGTTGTATAAAATGTTTTAGAGGTGAGTATCTGTGTCTCCAAACAATAAAGAATGTGACATGTTTTGGAAAAGTTTAAATATTTAAAGGACTTACTGAACAATTCATAATTTTACAAGCTGAAAAAAAATAGTAACAGCTGCCAAATAAAGGCAACAGTACCCTGTAGGTACCTCAAAAGTGAATGTAAGTACACTGCTTGAATAAATCTACGTATCTACTCTGCCACTGTTTGAATAATTACTTCTATGTTGCAAGAATGCATAATAAACCTGTGATGGTAGCCCACCCACAATATCACACAACAAAATGCGGCTTTGCTCCATAACTGAGCCAAAACTTTTACCTTGCAGCCGTTCTGCAGGAGTATCTCCGTTATTGCTCTTCCTATTCCCATTGCTGCTCCAGTCACGACTGCAATTTTACCGTATAAAGCCATTTCAGCAGTTCAATCAGAGGAGAGGAGGCTGTAGGATGAGTGCAGAAAATGTGATGAACCGAGGGAACTCTCTGTGCTTATATACTGACACCGCCCATAAGGAGAACATACCGAGCCAATCAGGGCCTGAAATTAACCTTTTTTTTGGTGTCCCAAAACTGTCCCAAATTCTACTTCAAACAGATATAACACCCATTGTCCCAAATTGAAGTTCTTTTTTATTCTACATCACAACTTTGTTTCAGTAACTTATATTGCTTCATTGAGTCACTCTGGTTCCCTGCATGTGAATAAAACATTTGAATCGCCCTGGGTGTTTGGTCACAGTTAGTTTCAATTATTATTTTTATCATTGGTTGAGTTACTCTTTCTTGCTTATTGATAATTGTGTGATCAATAAATTTAGCACAGCAAACTACAGTTAAAATGCAAAACTGTTTCTGATTGTTATACAGGGATAGTCAGGAAAGTCACTACAGAGAAATTGTATATTAGAAATAATAAAAAGAAAGAAATCTAGAAAGGGAGGGAGAAGAATAAATGTAAATATTTACAAGCTCAAACAAACTATTTACAATAAACTGTAGGACCACCCTAATCCAGAGATCCGGGAAGAGAAAGAGCGAGAGAGAAGGTCAAACGGATTATTTAAATATTTACAGGCTCAAACTAACTATTTACACGAAAGCTAAGGAACACCCTAATCCAGATATCCGTGTAGTGAGAGAGAAGCTCAGTTTTGGCCCCGACGGCACACTGACTGACTGACTGACTGCGAACAGCACAAGAGGAGAGGGAGAGACCCCGACGCTGTTGGTAGAGCTATTGACTGCGATTACTCTGATCAGTGTGCATGGGAATGAATTACAGCATCATTTATTAGAATATATTTCTCACTTTTTCCTCGTTGATCTGCATAAATCGCTAAATTTCACTAATAGTCACTTTTTAAAATATAAGGCTCTCTCTGACGCATTTTTTGTGTGTGTACGCACATGTATGGAAAGCCAAAAGGCTCACATTTCGTCTAAATTTCCCTGGAATTTGAAGTACTTGCAAATGTCACCGTGTTTAAACCATGTGTGACCACTAGAAAAACACATAGTGGCCTTTATCGGATGCCTGGTGGTGTTTGATAATGATCTCTGTTATCACTCAATCAGTAAGGAAGAAGACACTTCGGTGTTTTATTATATATTTTTTATTTATTTATTTGTAATATTATTGTTGGAGCCTTTTTGGAGATGTGTTAATGAATTGCTGGGAGAGCCGAGTGTTTTTTTTACCTCTGACTTACAGCAAATTTAAGTTGCTTGGGATTGTTTTGTCATTTATTTCTCTGCTTGACAGATTTTGGACAACGCAGTATGAATGAGAATTGAAAATAAATATGACAAGAGAAAGAAATCAGTGTGATTCCTCTGCCACAGTTTGTAACATAATGTTTTACTGCGTCCAGTTTACAGCAAGCCCTCCTCTGGCTGGAAAAACTGAGTATTGTAATTCATAAATGGTCCACTGCTGCCACCATCTGGAGTGTTACAGTAACAGCAGGTACGCTGGCTCATTGCAGTATGCATGCACCATTAAATGGCTCGATACACTTAACTTCACATTGTATTTGAACATACAATACCTGTGTATAAATAAAAATAATACAAATTGTGGTTGTAACAATTAAAATGATAAGTATTCTATAGGCTACATATTCTACACATATTACACAATAATTTAACTACTACTACTTATGTATTATGTCCTCAGGACAAAGGGACATCCTTTATTTAGAGCTTTGGGTGGATGGATGGACAGTTGAATTAAAGTCAAATAAAAATGAAACATCAGTAATCTTTAAAATGTCCAAATTCGGCTCAGATAGGCATTGAGCTGGTGGTCTGAGGACACTCTTTATTCTCAGTTTACTCAAGTACAGTATGTACAGTTTCCATTTTATACTTCTACTCCCCCACATATCAGAGGCAGATATTGTACTTTTTACTCCTCTACATTTAATCGGATTAATTAAGCTAAATAAACAATCTAAGACCCTCTTAGATTGTTTTTTCTGAGCTCATGAAAAGTTGATTTTTTAGAAATACGAGCTTCTCAGGACAGAGATATTACAAACATACAATGATCTTATAGAATATGATGCGTTGTGGTAGATTAAACTATCCAACAGTATATAAAGTAGTTAAAACGAGCTCAACATTAAACATCGACAGCAGTGAAATGCAACATACACATTAATGCAGCAGTAATATTAATGCAAAAACATCATATTTAATAGGAAAACACTGACAAGGACCATTTTATGGCACAATGAGTACTTTTATTTTGATATTTTAAGTACATTTAGCTGACAACACTTAGTATCATTTCGAATGCAGGATTTTTACTTGTAACTGAGTATTTTCACAGTTGCTTAAAGCAGCAACGAGGAACATTTTAAGTTTTTGTTGATTCTAGTGGCCCGTGGACATTTTAACTGAAATTCCTGGTCTGTTGTCAACAAAGCACAAAGCCATTACGTAAATGAGGGAAAAGTCACGTATTGTTTTCCTTTTGGGACCACCACTAGGGCCTCTCCATTCTTCGTCTCATCTGTCACCAGCTCGAGGACGGCCTCCGCTACCTCAGATACACTGCAATAAGAAGGTAAAGTGACTTCAGTGAATATGTGGTCATGATAATGTACTTCAACTGAATAATGTTTGTACTTATTATCAATGTACTGAATGGAATTAAGGCAAACCTGCTGCAGACTAAACTGTAAAGGTTTAATGGAGCACAGAATTAAATGTAGATTTTTTTTAAAGACTCACTTTAAGATCCCAAAATTTTTTAACAATTGTTCGGTTGCTTCAGCCATGTGGGAGTATTGCCCCAGCCTGGTCGGAATGTCAGACAAGAGGTCAGTTTGGACAAAACTTGGGCAAGCTGTGTTGAAGCGTACACCGTAGCCCGAGGCGGTAGAGGCAGCCTAGAAAGAGACACACGTACACGCAATTAAGTTTCAACTGGTCAGAGGCACAATGTATAATACGCAATAAGAGTAACAATCTAGTGCCTACTGACTCATAAGGACTAGCAGAAGTTAGATCCAGGCAATGATTTCCACACCCACTACACGTGTACAACGCTTTGTACGTGAAAAACACCTGGTTACGATTTCTGCTGAAAATTCTTGTACACAGATTGTTTTCTTTATCCTGTCCAGACTTCTTCGTAAGAAAGCATTCCTTACCGCCATGGCCCGAGTGAAACCGACCACTCCGTGCTTCGTGGCTGTGTAGACAGGACAGCTTGGCATTGGACCGAGACCTGAGGGGTTTGTGGGTTATGTTGGTCAGTTTTCAGAAATCTAAATACTACAGAGGTCAAGAAATTTGTATTTTCATGCAGCTAATTATCCTTAAAATATAATAATGTGGGTTATATCAAGTCAATATTAGGGTTAAATTGATGTTGCCAATAGTTTTATATGCCTTTCAGTTGGTGGTTTTAACACATGAGGAAACATGACTAGAAATGCCTGTAGATAATCATCATAAATGCCTTTCTCACTGTATCTATGCTATCTCTTTAGAGACTGGTGTCTCTTGTTTTATGAAAGTGAGGCTTCATTTGATTCGCTCACAGTTTTTGATCAGTTATATGTCTGACAATAGACTGTTGAGAGGAATCTAGCTGTGTTTCCAGCCAGGTGGAATTCCAGTAGCTCACCTGGTAGCCCCACCTACTAAGGCTGAGTCCTTGTCGCAGTGGTTTGGGTTTGATTCCAACTTGTGGCCTTTTCACCTGTCACCTCCCCCTCTCCCTTTCCTGTCTACCGCCAGCTGTCTCTATCCATTAATGGCATATATATAACTATTCTAACCAGGTTCATCAAACACAACAAACATAAGAGCACAATGGCGATCCTCTAAGTATGCAAAAGAAAAGGTCAAAATGTTTAAATATATAAAACTAACTACAACCTCTCGTGTCTTTTTAATATATTACTTAAGGTGATGCAAAGAATACTGTTTTCACATGTGCAGAACATCGTTTGCTTTACCCGTTAGGGATGATGTGTTGACGATGACGCCTCCCCGACCTCCCTTCAGCTTGCTCATGTGCTCAAGAGCCAGGTAGGCTACCCTGATAACACTTACCTACAACACAGAATAGACAACAGAGAACTCATTTTCTTCAGGCCGTCCTCTGTGTACCAAATGTCGTGTAATGAAACAGGAAGCTGAATGTAAAACCTGCTATATTTAACCAAATTAATTCATCACAGTCTAACTGCAGAGAAGAAAGACATGTAGATTACTCTGTTTACGGTGGTGCAACCAGTAATTCGTGAGACACAAATATGCTGTTATATGTTGTTGTGTAATTTCCCTCGTGATGCACCCGCGAACGAGAAACTGGCATAATCCCAACCAGATGCAGTTTGTTGCTTCTTACAAAGTTTATGGAGATGGTTTTCTCCCACATGCCCTCATTCATGATGCCGGCATTGTTGCACAGTATGTCAATTCCTCCAAATCTTTCTGTGGTTTTCTTCAAGGCAGCTTGAGAAAAGAAAACAAAACACAGTTAACCAAGTTGAGCTCGTCCTCATTAAGGACCAGTGTGTAGGATTTAAGGGCATCTTAAGCAGTGTAGTTTTGCAGATCGCAACTCCCTCGTTTCACCCTCAAAGAGAAACTACGGTGGCTCTAACGTCCACTTTCTCCCTCCTGCTCTGCAATAACTCCTTCCCCACCAGTCCCAGTCATCTGACCTTACCCGCCCTCCTCCTGAGCAGTTCCACCTATGTCGCTGGTCTCCAGGCTACCTGTCCTCCAGAGCTGCTTCCCCTTTGTTGTCAGCATCCAGAGCCTTGTCCAGAGCTGCCCTGTCTCCTGGTCACCCTAAAACCTGCCCTGCCCATCTACCTTGACCCCAGGCCACCCGCCTGAGGTCTTATGCTCTGCCCCTGTCCAGTCCCCAGGCTGTCCACCCGAAAGCACTGCCAGCTCCCAGGCCACTTCCCCTGAAAGTAAGAATCACTTATGTTTTCATTAC